TGCTATTAAAGTAATAAATTTTATATTTATTCAACGAACTGGACAACATGTTTAATTTATTTATTTTGCAAAAAAAAAAAAAACTCCCACCCAATCACACAAAAAACACAAGACACCAGCAGCGGCAAGCCGTGGCGTTAAAATTAAAAATAGCCTTTACCTTGAATTGAAAAAAAAAGAGAATTGCACATGTGCGGTTTTTATATTTAATGGACATTGTCGATTTAGAGTTTGTCCCTAACACACTGACATACTAAATGCTGATAGAGATATTTAAATTAAATAAGACTATAAATTAAAAGAAATTATGGAGTGCATTGCAAAACGTAAAGTGAAAATATAACTAAGTTAAGGCTAAAGTTATGTTATATTAAAAGTTATTAAGAACTTTTCTGATGTGCTTAAAAAAAAAGTAAATAAACATGCGATTTGATTGTTTTGTTCTCCAAAACCCCTAATTTTCTTTGATTTCTATGGTTGTTGCAGTATACGTAGCTCGAAAGGAAGACAAGAAATTTAGGAAGTATTTTTTATACCCTCCGCCATTCTTTGTTATCCGTTTGTAATTCCTCGAAATATTCATAATACACCCAACAAAGTATATATATTCTGGATCAGCGTAAATTTCTAAGACGATCTAGCGGTGTCTGTCTGTTTTAATCACGCTATCTTTCGAACGAATTGAGATAGAAGGCTAAAATTTTGCATACATGCATAGTTTACCAGTAGGCAGGTTAAGTTCGTAAATGGGCCATGTAGGTCCACGTCTTTGTATAGCCCCCATACAACGGTAGCTCCATATATTCGGTATTTTGATGATTTCAGAAACATTATTCACCGAAATCGTTTCAAATTTCGTATTGAAAAATCTTAATGGGTACTACAACCTTTGTAAAAAAAAAAAATCGTATACAGATCCTCCTCTTCGTATTTAAAGTTCGTAATGTCTATGACAAAAAATGTCGTAAGCAGGTCCACGTCTTCGTATAGTTTCCATATAACGGTTTTCATTAGGTGTGTCTGATTACTTTTCCATCAAGAATTGTCCAGCAACTTCTTTCTGAGAGAGTAAGGTAGTTTTATTCTCTTTTGCAAGGAAAATGCGAAAAGTAAACAGACGGTATTCCTGCGGAAACTTGCAACTAATCAGCTGATTTGTCAAAACAAACCAATTTGTCCCCCATTAAAAGAGTTAAAATAAAGGAAGCACCACCAATTTTACAAGGTATATAAATGAACAGAAAATAGGCAATAAAATAAAAATATGAGCTCTTAGAGAAAAATAGATTTGATGTGTTCCCCGGAATCCTTTAAACCTGTTGCTAATGGCGTTTGTCTAAAAATGTTGGAAATACTCTTTCATTTTCTTATTACATATTAATATTTATGTTTTTCACATTTTGTTAAGATGTTCTCCAAAAACATTTAGTCTTGCTTATTCCAAAACAATATTTTCAAATTGAATGCACAAACAGAAATAAATAAACAATAGAAAACATCTGATTAAATGTCGATGAATGAGAAGAAGAAGAGTTGCAAGAGATTGCAAGAAGAAATTTGTCCAGCAAGAATTTGCAAACTCTCATTGAAAGAACTGTCAAAATTTCTCTCTCTAACCGCTCTCTTTTGCAGAACTTTCGGGTTAACAGACGACTTCCAGCAACAATTTGTAACAATTGTTACAAATTTTAGAGTAACCAGACACACCTATTTATTAAAAGTTCGGCCAACCTTAGCTGTTTTTTACTTGTTTTTATTAAATAAAGGAAATTACAAATACTTCTTTATTTACTTTGAGTTGTAAAGATATTCAAGAAGGTATTTGACATTCCACAATGAACTGCGCTGCATGAGATTGAATAATTATTATTAGCTTAATTATTATTTTTTTAATGTGAATAAATTAATTTTGCATAAATACTATCAATGAACGAACAAAAAGTTTCCATTGAAAATTGAGAATATCTAAAAAAGTTAGTTTGTGTTAGTTAATATCAGGTTGAAGTGCTAATATAATTCCTACAGTATTATTTCCGATCAAAAAATAAGTTGGTTTCTCAAATGTGTTTAACAATAGACACAGTTTTCAATTATGTTTTTAATTTAGTCCATTTTTGTATACGTTGTTGGTCCCTTTACATTAGAAATAATACTCATGCAACATTTCGAAATTCGTGATATATTCCTTTTGCAATTAACACTTTTAATACCTTCCACCATACTTTAAGGATTTTTTCTTTTCTAACTCCTTGAAACCAGTAAGGAAAAGTCAAAAGTCGGGCGGGGCCGACTATTTGATACCCTACACCATTATGCATATTTAGTAGATCTCCCATAACAAAAGAATTTATAATTTATCATACCACCTGATAGGTTGGCTTTAGAGCAGTTATAGTTTGCTATAGAGTTCATTATATCACATGGAGAAGGATTATATTAAAAAAATACATATCGCAGCCGAGTTGCTCAAAATGGAAACGTACGTCCCGAAATGAACTTCATTTGGGCTGATATTAGCCATTATTTTCACAATAAACCTGAAATCAGATTAAGGAAATATATGGGAGCTACATCCAAATCTTAGCCGATCTCGATTAAATTTGGCTATGGTATTTCCGAGCTTTATAAGATATTTGGTACCAAATATAATTGTTGTCTTATGCATATTACGAAGGTGAAAGGTGAAACATATATATGGGAGCTATAGCTATATCTGAACCGATTATCTCCAAATTTGATGTACTTGCTTCTAGACTGAACTCGGTCGGATGTATCAAACTTCATGACTTTTGGACTGATATTGACCATTCGGTGCACAATTAACCCGAAATTGGTTGAAGATATATGTGGGAGCTATGTCCAAATCTCAACCGATCTTGATAAAACTTGGCAGAGGTATTTCAGGTCTGTATCTGATACCAAACATAATTTTTGTAGGGTGCATTTTACGAATGTGAGGGACTTAAACATCAAATGTGATGAAACATATATATGGGAGCTATAGCTATATCTGAACCGATTTCCAAATTTATGGTACTTGATTTTTGACTGAAATCTTTCGAATATGCCAAAATTCAGGTCATTTGGACTGATATTGGCCATTTGGTGCACAATTAACCTAAAATCGTTTGAGAATATATATGTGAGCCGTATCCAAATCTGAACTGATCACGACAAAATTTGTCAGAGGTATTTTCGAGCAGTATCTGATATCCGCAATCAAATATCATTCTTCTGGAGTGCATATTACGCAACCAAATTCCGACTGCTGTAATTTCTAAGCCACTCGTCCCACAACCAATAAATAGCTCGTGAGCGGAAAATATCGAAATATTCCATTCGACAAATATTGAAAAATGAGCTCGGGGTAAAGCTATTGAAATTCCAAGAGCAAGGACGTACACCGCAACAGAAAGAAAATAGACTCAAAAGAGCTAAAGAGTTGTTTCGCTTGGCCGAAAGTGGTGAACTGCCGAATATGGTTAAAAATGACACTCAGCACGCGCCGACCAAGAATGGTTAAAAAATGAGGTTCCTCGCTTAATATCCAGCGCATAATGGCCACCAAAATCTCCGGATACCAATCCGTTGGACTATCGTGTCTGGAGTATATTGGAAAGCAAGGGAATGGGCCAAAATACAGCAGAGTAACATTCGGCAGCGTGAGACGGTTTCATTGGCCGTTTGAAGACCATAATTCGTGCCAAAAGTGACCAATTCGAACAAATCTTAACTTATTCCAATATTTAATGCTTTCATTCAATAAATTTTAAAAATAAATTAAAAATTATGGCGTTTGACTTTGTTGCAGATTTTTTATCTTACCCTGTAGTGCATTTTAAGCTCTTACTTATCGCTCAATAACAATGCCGTACCCTTTCTACCTTTTAGAACATTGTGTACGTTTAAATTAAAATTGTTTTAAAAATTCCAAAACTTCGAAATTCGTGCTCTTAAATTTCGTTTCAACTTTTTTGTCGTTCTAGTTCAAAATAAAACATTTTGGTAGTTTTCGCCTCATTTTATTTCTTTAGAACAAAAGTAACCCTCATGGAACAACTTAAAGGTATTTCCCTTACAGCTAGATCAATAACAATGTCATGCCAAATAAAATCTTAAATAGAATCTTAACCCATTTCTTGAATTTTACATTTCAAGAGCTAAATCAGTCGATATATTCCACAATACCCCATACTACATTCGTAGAATACCCTCACCCTGATTATAAATTGTTTACCACCAAAAGAAAAAGAAAAATTCAAGATAAAACTGAATTAAATCTTTGGATTAAAGTTTATAAATTCCACATAATTTTGTACGCTTGCTGGGAATCACAAATGAATGAAGAACTGAAATGATTAATCTATGAAAAAGTAGTAAGACCTTAAACATCCAACACGTTCCCAAAAGAAAAAAAATATATAGATTTTTTATGGGTCAAGACATTCGGTTAATATTGATTTATTATATTTTTAATTTGAGCAAATTAAATGATTAATCACCAGCAATAAATTACGATTTAATAAAAAAAAACCCAAAATTCTTCAAAATAAAATATCAAAAAAGAACACTATAATCGTTCATGGCATTTCCATGGAAGAACAAAAAAAAAACATGAATTTTAAATATCAACAAATTGAAACAGTAGAAAATCATTAACAAATTTTAAATGCTACGATGATTAACAAAAAAAATACCAACTGAAATGTGCCACATGAGTTGACGAAAAAAATAATGAAACTAAAACAAGTTTGTGTCTTAAGTCTTTTGTTTTCCTAGCCATGCGCCCATATAACACTGCTGTGAAAACACATTAAAATTTAATGATGCTAAAATTCGGTTTGCTATGTTTTGTTGATGATTACGTGTGTGTGTGTGCGATGTTTTTTTTTTTTTTTTTGTTTTTGTATTTCAATAGATTTGAATATTTTCTGCGTTCTATATTTTGTAAACAAATGACGTTGATGCTAATCTCTTCTTTTTTTGTTTTTATTTCGCAGTGATTTCATACACACATGCCTCATTTCCATATTATGGCACAAAAATTGGCGCATTAAAGCGATTACATCATGGCGTTTCCGGCGATGTCTATGCCGTAGATTCCAGAACAATATTTGTGAAAAAATTCAATTATGATGGCGAAGCACCAGGTAGGTACCAACAACAACAAAAATAAAATAACACCAAAATGCCTCCGAAACAATAACCAAAATACGTATCTAATCATTAATCTTGTCGTTTTTTTTTTTGTTGTCTAATTTTTAAGCTGCCTACTTTTATGTGGGCAGTACCGGTAAGCCAAGTGCTGCTGGCGGTACTCGCCTTAGAGATGAACGTGGAGCCACCGCCTCACTGACAAAACGTTATCGCAACAAGGACATAACCCTCACTCTGCCCGAAGGCATTTCTCTCAAGGACATCAAATGGTTTTCGGTTTGGTGTGATGAATTTGCTGTGAACTTTGGTGATGTTACCATTCCCAACAATTTGGATTTCCCCCGGCCACAAAAACTCACCGGTCTAGCTGGTGTCCATGGCGTTAAATCGGATCCCATTGTTGTAGTGGATGCTCAAACATTGTTGGTGCCAAATTTCAGTTATGATGGTGAAGCACCTGGTAAGTTTACATTAAAAAATTACATTTTATTGAGTTAGGGAAACAATAAGGAAAGAACTACGAAAGCCAAATTAAATTTGGACCTCCTACACGCCAAATTTCAAAATTCCAGCCCAAATACTAATAATTATGTGAATTCCATGTATACGGATATACATTTTCATTCACCCCGTCCTTTTTGTTTTGTTCGCACTAGAAGCGACCCTCATCCCAACTTTTAGAGTTCTAGATCCACTCCTTTGTATTAACTACTTTCGGTATCTTTTAATACCTCTAATCGCAATTAGATATGGGATTTTCACCTTTTTATACCCTACACCACAAGGTGGTCAGGGTATTATGTCTTTGTGCATTTGTTTGTAACAGGCAAAAGGAAACGAGATAGACCCATAGTTCCTTTTGATGATCTGCATAGAATCACTTTCTGAGTTGATTTATGCATGTCAGTCCGTCTGTCCGTCCGTCCGTCCGTCTGTCCATGTATTCTTGTGAACAAAATGCAGGTCGCATTTATTATCCGATTGAGATGAAATTTTGCAAACAACATTTGTTTGGCCCAAGGACGAACCCTATTGAAATTGGAGATAATCGGTCAAAATTTAGATATAGCTCCCATATATATCTTCGGCCGATTTGCCTTTTATTGTGCACCAAACGTGTAATATCAGCCCGAATAGTATGGAATTTTGCCCATACAACCAAATTACGCCTGAAAATAAGTATGCCAAAATTGATCGAAATCGGTTCAGATATAGCTATAGCTCCCATATATATTGTTTATCCGATTTGTCATTTTTGTCCTCCGCAGCCGTAATATGTACTCTGTAACAACAATATTTGGGGAAATATATCAAATGCAGCTCAGGAATACCTTTGCTAAATTTTATGGAGATCGGTTCAGATTTGGGTATAGCTCCCATATATAACTTCGTCCGATTTACCATTTATTGTGCACCAAACGTCTAATATTTGTCCAAATGGGATGGAATTTGGCACTTACGACCGAATTTAGTCTAGAAGGTATTATGCCAAATTTGGTGAAGATCGGTTCAGATATAGTTATAGCTCCCATATATATTGTTCATTCGATTTATTGTATTTGTTACCCACAACCGTAATATGCACTCCGTAACAACGATATTCAGGGAAATATATCAAATACAGCTCTTTGCCAAATTTTATCAAGATCGGTTCAGATTTGGATATAGTTTCCATATATATTTTTATCCGATTTCAAATTAATTTCGCACCAAATGGGCAATACAAGTCCGAATTTAAAAGATACAAATGCTTCGGCATATTTAGTCCTTTGAACTTTAAATTATAATTATAATCATAGCGTGTATGATTGAATTCTCCCATAAAAACTTTTAATTGTTATGCGCAGCTCTACTAAATTAGCAAAGTGGTGTAGGGTATCATAAAGTCGGCCCCGCCCGACCTTAAGACTTTCTTTACTGGTTTTAATTTGTAATTAGTCTGCATTACTTGTTAATAAATATTTATTTTAATTTCCTATTTTCTTCCCTTTTTAGATGCCAAATTCTGGGTTGGTCAAGGCGATCGTCCCACACCCAACGGCCTGCGTATACCCGATGAAAATGGCAAAGAAAACCCTCTGCGTCGTTATGACCACAAAACCATTGTCCTAACATTGCCCGATGATTTGACCATTTTCGATATTGGTCATTTCGGTGTATGGTGCGAAGCGTTTACCGTTGATTTCGGCCACATTCGTATACCGAAGCCCTTGAATGTCCCACCATCGTTGAAAATGTTGGGCATTAGTCCTCAGGTAAAGAAACATGCTAATTCAATATTAAATAATTTAGATGTTTAGAGACAGCAAACACTTGAGAAGTGTTCACACTTGATGTTTTATATAACTTGACAACAACAAGCAAAAAACAAATCAATCGCAACCTAAACAAAAGATTGTCTTAGCATAGGGTTTTTACAACTATTGTGTTCTGTGTGATGATGACGATGATGATGTCTGACAGCAAGCATTTTCTATATTATTTTTATGTTTTTGTTTTTAATTTAGTTTTAAGAGAATTTGTTTTCTTACATATGTGCATTTTCTTAGATTTTCCTTCTTTCCCTATTGTTTCTATTATTTTAATATTTATTTGAGATCTGCTGTTATTTTCGTTTGAATTTTGAACAAAAGTTATGGAGCAATTAGGGGATACAATTTTGAATTTCACTCTAATAATTTTTTATTGTTAAAAAGAAAATTTTGAGTTTGGGAAATTTTGGCAGAAGTCTTATGAAAAAGTATAATTTTCTTTCTAAAGTTCGATTAACATGTTCCAAGGTGACGATTTTATTCGGCCTCTGGTTCGGAAGTAAAAAAAATTCAAGTTTTGCAACTAAAAAAACGATATTCTAAAAAGTCGTTATTTTTGTTGAAAGCAAATTTCTATTTTAAAGAAGTAGAAAAGTTTAATATTTCCTAAATCCAAATTTTTACTTATTTTTGTTAGAGAATAAGATAAAATATCTTTCAAATTTTCCTATTTTCTTGAGATTCACCTTTTGTTCAAAATCTTCTCTTCTCTTTCTGAAATTCTATATTTATACACTTCAACCAAATCCTATCAAATATATTTTTTATATATACATTAAGGTCATTTTTTATTTAAGTTAATTATTTTATAATTTTTTTGTAATAAACAAATCATTGTTTTCTATAAATAAAATGAAAAATATGAAAAACAAAATTAACAACTTGTGTTTGAATATGCAAAATGGTTTTATATATAATTTTGTGCGACTGATAAACCAACATGTGGCAATATATTGTTGGTGAAATTGGAAAATAAAAAATTCAAAACATACAAAGTGAAATATATATCCTATACAAAACTGGAAAAAACTCATACACTTGGAATTGGGGTTCATACATATTTACAGTTTATAAGAAATGCTTTACAAATGTCCTGGTATTGCTTGCATTTTTGCCTTTCCTCTTGAAATCCATTCACCTGTCTTTCTGCCTGCTTTACCCGCTTAAAGAAAAATCCAACGAACAGGTTTACTAACTCTATACAGATCATTATTTTCCAAAAAATAATAAGTTTCGGCAAAAAATTGTATTTGAAAATTTCTTCCCACTTTTCCAAACATTTATTTCATTTTGTATTTCGAATTTAAAATTTCATTCAACAATAGCTACATGCAAATCAAAATTATATATAAAACAAAATTTTGTATTATTCAAAATAAAAATAAGAAGAAGAAGAAAAAAGAGAGACAAAACATATAAACATGAAAAACATCATCAAATGCAAACACACACACACACAACAATGCCCACCCAACACCACCCAATCGAAGACATGTCACACATTTGCATACAACCAAAATTGAAACAGCCATAGCCGTAGTAATTATTAATTAACTTAATTAGCATAGCCATCGTAGCGTTTATTGTAAACATTTTTAGTACAACAACAACAACCACAACAACTAACCATCATTGCTATTTTTACTTAAACCAAGCCTTTGCTGCTTGTTGGCTGCATCTGCATGCTATTTGTTCAGTTTATTTGACTTATTTATGATCTGGCCAACAGCAAGGTTTGCCTAAGGTGCCATTCCTCTGGTATTTGTATTCAATTCATTTTATTGCAGTTTAATTTAATTATTTTTTTGTTTTTGGCAATAAACACTGTCAAGGTGATCATCTTTGCAGAAATTGATATTTAAGCCAGACACCAACTAACCAGCCAAGCCATTGCAGTTATTGTTTCTTTTTTTGATCATCTTTGGTCCATGTTAAGTTGTTAAGTTTTATTTATGTTTAATATTTCTTTTTTACTTTTTTCTTATGTTGTTCATCTTCTCGAGACTACAACTTATTTTTGTTTAGCTAGTGAGTTCACCAAATTGTAAAACAATGGACCATGACCCAAGTTTGTGCTCGTAAAATATCATTACGCCCATTTTTTGCAATTTTCTTTGCCTGATTCCGACGATTTGGATCAAAGATGAAAAATAAAATTATGATTCATTCAAAACAAAAACTAGTTAAGAATAGTAAATTGGAAAGCAAATTTTTACATGACCTGGAAATAACCTCCAAGTTCCAAATAAATCCTAGAACAAAAATATGTCACGGATTTACACATAACTCAATGAAGTTGAATTTAACAAAAATCTAAATCAATGTTCGGATGAAAAACTTATTTCTTACATTAATAAGAATGTAGACTTGCAAAATATTCCTATTTAACCCAGGAAGTAGTTTCAGTTAAGGTCAGAATCTTAGATTCTTACATTAGAAAATGTTAAAATGTGTATGAGGTACCAGATATACTCGACCGAAGTATTCCATTTTTATACCCTCCACCATACATAGTATGGAGGGTATATTAAGTTCGTCATTCTATTTGTAACTCACCGAAATAATAATTTTAGACCCAACAAAGTATATATATTCTTGATCAGCGTAAAATTCTAAGACGATTTGGCCCTATCCGTTCTAATCACGCTACAGTTAAAACGAATTAAGATAGAAAGCTAAAGTTTTGCACAAATCTGTCTTTTGTCTGCAGGCAGGTCAAGTTCGAAGATGGGTTATATCGGTCCACGATATTGTATATCCCCCATATAACGACACTTCCCGATATTCGGTATTTTGATGATTTTAACCACATTTTTAATGGTATTGTCTAAAAATCCACACAAGGAGTTCCTTGTGAATACTTTATACCTCGGCAGAGAATTATCTATATAGGTCCACAATATCGTATAGCCCCCATATAACGGTACCCCCAAGGTATTCGGTATTTTGATGATTTTAGCCACTTTTTCCAATGGAATTATCTGAAAATCCACACAAGGAGTTCCTTGTAAGTACTTTACACGCAGACATAGATTTGTCTTTATAGGTCCACAATATCGTATATCCCCCCATATATGGGCACCTTCCTTTATTATATATTTTAAAGATTTTAAAAGAATTTTTAATGGATTTTTTTTTTAACTTTTTTAATTCGTTCCAAATGGTGGAGGGTATTCAAAGTTCGGCCCGGCCGAACTTACAGCTTTTTTACTTGTTTTTTTTTTTTTTTTTCAAAATGTCAACGCATCCAAAGGACACGAAATATCGCATGAAGTTAGAGTTTAGGACAGCGGATAGAATGAACCACTACTTTTGTGTAAAAAAAATGCCAACATTACTTACAGATGATATCTGAAATACACAAAATCAGAACTTCTTGCTGAAGCCAATCGACACGCCTGAGAAGAGAGTTAAGGACAGGGTAGAATTCTAGCATTTTGGATGACCTTTGGATTATATTCAGCTGTAAAATGGACCACAACAACTAACAGCACGACGGAGTGCGTAAATATTGGTCAAAATGCTAAGGGAAATATCTGGGCAGTGCTCCGTGACATAATTTCAAAAGCGAAATCTTGCAACATGGATTTGGACATAAGGGGGCATCTAGCATATTGAAGTGTTGTAGGGTATTACATGGTCGGCCCCGCACGACTATAGCCTTTGCTTACTTGTTTTATATTATTCATGTTACTGTATGTGACTTTAGTCTTGTTTTTACAACCCAAATATTACTCTTCCGCTATCTCCATTTTTTCATTACGAAAAACTTTGTTTTACTAGACATTTTTACCATTCTCAAAAATCTACTAATAATATTGTATAATTTAATAATTGCATATTTCGATATATACTATTTTTTATTTAAAAATAATATATCTTTTCTTAATTTTATTTGCCTTTTTTTATTAAACTTTATAGTCCAAACTAAACTGTGAAGTGTTATATGACGATTTGGCGTTTGAAGTCCGCTGGGCCATGGCTGGTGATAGCATCGTTGTGCAATTGGTTTCCAAACTGGGTAAGTCGACAACCACATAATTTTATGGGCCATATTATATATGTATTTACATAATATTTAGAGTAACACTTTCCAAATTTATAAAAATAGAAATAAGAAAACATTTTTTATGGCAAATTGGAGACCAATAAAAATATTGGCAAATTTGTGTGCGTGTGTGTTAATTAATTAACTCAATAAAGTTAACACATTTTTCCATTTAAATTAATTCAATGAGATTATAAAATAAAATAACAGCAGGATTCCTTTTATCGGTCACATTGCCACATAAGTCTCAACATTGTTCGTAATCAAATGGGGTTTTTTTTGTTTTCAATAAATTCCATTACAACAAGTCCTCACGTAGTGGGCAACATTTGCACACAAACTCACACATTTTCTAGTTTGAAACAAAAAATGCCATCCAAGCCAAGCATCCAATGAAAGTATCAAAATTCCTCTTCAACCTGCATTCACATGCACACACCATAATTGGTGAATTGTTGACGAATGTTTGGAGCAGCAATAGCAGCTGCTGCAGCCAGCAGATCACAACAACACAACAACAGCGAAATATGGCAACAAACTTGAAAGCAAGATTCCAAAGTGTGCCAATGAAACAGATTGTTGCTACTGTTGCTCCGTTTATTGAACTTCAGTAGATGGCTTCTTATTAACAGGTTATTGCGACCATCCTTCAGTCGTCCAACCATCTATCCATTGACCAGAAACTAGAAATCACCGTAACAGATTAGCGCTGCAACAAAAACACAAACTAACTGAAAACAGTTAATATCCAACACCAATCGTTTAAATGACATTTCTTGAAGCCGAAAACCAGAAGCATGCACCAGATACGCATGGATATTGGCCAAACGACCGGAATGTGTAAATTAAAGCACCAAACGTTTCTTCCCTTGGTGGATGCTTTGGCAACACACACTAACTGACCGACCGGCTGACTGCCTGACTGTCGGAATGCAGCACCTAAAGAAAAACCAGTAGCAGTCACTAATGACAGAGATGTTGTCATAATAGCCTCCATAAAATACACCTGATTTCCTTTTGAAAATTCTTATTACGGTGTGCAGTGTGGCACAGTGTTTGGATGACAACCGCAAGAAATGTGGTTGCAATTAGCAGATGAATTTTGACTTTATATGTGCATGGTGAAAATGAAGGAAGAATTGCGTAATAATTTTGCGAGTGAATCAAAAAAAAAGAATTCGCTCTCAAAATATTGAATAATTGTATAATAATGGATTATATTACAATTAGGATTTATTGTTTCCGGAAACTATTCAATTAATTACAAATGGAAAAACGGATTAATTAAATAATCGATTTCAATACTACAGTATTTTTTGCTTACCTGCACAATCAAAAATTGCACGACATCTTGTGCAGCAATGCCCAAAATGCAGGAAGCTTCATTGCATTTATCTGCACAAGAAAGCAGGTATCTTTAATTTTACTTACGTGCACAAAAAGTGCAGGTATCTTTAATTTTCTATTCGTGCACAACAAAGAAGCAATCTTTATTTTACTTACGTACGTGTAATAGCCAGCCAAAATCAATGGGGAATCTTTTAAAGTTTATAATACATTTATTAAGTGGTTTAATTATATTAAACACAACAATTTAACATAAAATATATAATTCATAATTCTCATGAATTGTCTAGGCAAACAATGCTCACCATTAGCGTCATCGAAACTTCAAACAAAAGAGTGTTCTCTTTTAGCTCATCAAAAGTAGTTAAGCAATGGATAGACAAACTCAGAGAGACAAATTCACAACATATGTATTTGAGCATCAGTGGTGTTTTATCCAGCATAAGATGGTTATGCTTTATTAGTGTGGGAGAGGAAGCGAGAATATGTTTTTAATGCATGCTCTTTTCTTGTGTTGTTATTGTTTTTGCGAATACAAAAACAAAAACGAAGTGGTAGTTTTTAGTGTCTTCTTTGAGTTTGCAAAAAAATTTCTTGTGCAGATAAATACAACTTTTGTAACCAAATTAAAAAAAATTACCAAACTTTCGAGGCAGGAATGTCCAATGTGCAGCTATCGATTGGGCACTTAAATCCAATTCAAATAAAGTGATTCAGAAAAAAATGGCATAAAAAAAGTTTTTTGGTCTGCAAAGGCCAATGCGCAGCTAATGTTGATGCAGGTAAATAGAAACCACTATACACCCTTTTTCAGTTGTATTCCGAAAATCGTGATTTGAGAATACATATGTAATTCTTGATTTTTACAATACCCTACAGAGGGTATATAGCACTTGATATGGCCAAAATGTGTCTCACCAAAATTAATAATTGAAAAATAATCTACCTCAAGGAACAAGAAAGGATATTCCAATTTTTTCAAACTATGCAAATGATGATTACATCAGTTTCTTGGTTAGGTGTGAAAATGGACAAGATGGGGCCCTTTTATCAAATACCTTCCCCACGGAAGATCGACATTTGTATAATCATATTTATATATAAAAACCAGTAAGGAAAAGTCAAAAGTAGGGCGGGCCGCTATATGATACCCTACACCACTGTGCTCGTTTGGTAAAGCTCCCGTAACAAAAGAATGCATTTGAAGTAGATCATACCACCTATCAACATTTGACTTTAGAGCAGTTATAATTTGGTTTCAGACGGAACTGATATAGTGGAAGCATATCCTATTCTGAATCGATTTTCACTAAATTTGACAGAGACATTTAAATCGTTTATACCAATTATCATTGCTACAGAGCGAATTTTATCACTTCGAGAAGAATTATAATAAAAAACCAGTAAAGAAAGTCTTAAAGTCGGGCGGTGCCGACTTTATGATACCCTACACCACTTTGCTAATTTAGTAGAGCTCCACATAACAATTAAAAGTTTTTTATGGGAGAATACAATCATACACTCTATAATTATAATTATATATAATTATAATTACAATTTAAAGTTCAAAAGACTAAATATGCCGAAGCATTTGTATCTTTTAAATTCGGACTTGTATTGCCCATTTGGTGCAAAATTAATTCTAAATCAGATAAAGATATATATGGGAGCTATATCCAAATCGGAATCGATTTCAATAAAATTTGGCAACGATATTTCCGAGCTGTTTTTGATATATTTCCCTGAATATCGTTGTTACGGAGTGCATATTACGGCTGTGGGTAACAAATATAACAAATGGGATGATGATGATGATATGGGAGCTATAGCTATATCTGAACCGATCTTCACCAAATTTGACATACAAGCTTCTAGACTCAATTCGGTCGTAAGTGCCAAATTCCATCCGATTTGGACAAATATTAGAAGTTTGGTGCACAATAAAAGGTAAATCGGACGAAGTTATATATGGGAGCTATATTCAAATCTGAACCGATCTCGATAAAATTTAGCAAAGGTATTTCTGAGCTGTATTTGATATATTTCCCCAAATATTGTTGTTGCATAGTGCATATTACGGCGGCGGTGGACAAAAAAAAACAAATCGGATGAACAATATATATGGGAGCTATAGCTATATCTGAACCGATTTCGATAAAATTTGGCATACATATTTTTAGGCCTAATTTGGTTGTATGTGCAAAATTTCATACTATTCGGGCTGATATTACACGTTTGGTGCACAATAAAAGGCAAATCGGACGAAGATATATATGGGAGCTATATCTAAGTTTTGACCGATTATCTCCAATTTCAATAGGGTTCGTCCTTGGACCAAACAAATGTTGTTTGGAAAATTTCATCTCAATCGGATAATAAATGCGACCTGCATTTTGTTCACAAAAATACAGGGACAGACGGACTGGCATGCATAAATCGACTCAGAATGTGATTCTATGCAGATACAGTGGTTTCTATTTACCTGCATCAACATTAGCTGCGCATTGGCCTTTGCAGACCAAAACACTTTTTTTATGCCATTTTTTTCTGAATCCCTTTATTTGAATTGTATTTAAGTGCCCAATCGATAGCTGCACATTGGACATTCCTGCCTCGAAAATTTGGTAATTTTTTAATTTGGTTACAAAAGTTGTATTTATCTGCACAAGAAATTTTTTTGCAAACTCAAAAAAGACACTAAAAACTACCACTTCGTTTTTGTTTTTGTATTCGCAAAAACAATAACAACACAAGAAAAGAGCATGCATTAAAAACATATTCTCGCTTCCTCTCCCACACTAAAAGATGGTTATGCTGCTGTTGCTTTGTTGTGCACGAATAGAAAATTAAAGATAACTGCACTTTTTGTGCACGTAAGTAAAATTAAAGATACCTGTTTCATTGTGCAGATAAATGCAATGAAGCTACCTGCATGCACAAAGACATAATACCCTGACCACCTTGTGGTGTAGGGTATAAATACAGGGTGAGATAAACGCCAACGTCATGCGCCACAATTTTTATTATACCCTACAACACTATGTGTTGGGGGTATTATAAGTTTGATTGGGCCAAAAATTATGTAACACCTCGAAATATTGATTTCCCACATAGGAAAGTATATATGGATCTTCCCAGCTCGCCGAGCTGAGTCGATCTAGCTATGTATGTCCGTCCGTCCGTCTGTCCGTCTGTCCATGTTAATTTGTAATCACACTACAGGTCGCAATTATGGTCCGATCTTCACGAAATTAAGAATGGAGGTGGGGATAGTGACAGAATAGAACCCTATTTCTTTTGGAGATGATCGCATAATATCTAGGGGTTGAAATGGACCAAAAACTGGAAAATTTGCTGATTTTGCAGCTGCTCTACAGGTCGCAATTATAGACCAATCGAAGCGGAAGTTGGTATAGTTCTAGAGCTTAGGGCTGGGCAGAAGCCTTCCAATTTTGATGGTCATCGGGTAATATTTAGTGGGTGAAATAGGCCATAACATTTATGTTAAATAAAAGTCGAATTTCCTTTAAACCGCGAATATTTTTAATCCCGGCAAAATCATAAAAAGGCGAACAGGTCAATTCTGACCGTTACGTAGATACCGATAGTAAATATATCGGATATATATAGCGGAATATATACAATACATTTATACAAAGGAAGGGGATGTTAGCTAAAATGCTTATACCTCAAGAATGGCTGGACCGATTTTGACAAATTTAGTCAATTCAGAATGCCCTCTTGGTGTAAAATAATAATATCTAAAAAATCGCATAAAAAGATGTCAATAATGATGTTAATATGGATTTTGTAGTATTTTGTGACATTTTTTTATTTTTTCATATTTTTTATCGCATGCGATTTTTTCATTTTGACTTACAATAATGAAGAATACATTTTATAATATTTTTTCATTTTACAACACAAGTTGGGGTTATTATATATAGATTGCAATTATCCTCACGAAAAAAGGTAGGGTTAGGCTCAGAAGGGTTAGGCCTATTGTTTTCAAAGATGTCCGCAATATATTTAGGGGTTGAAATGGACCAACAACGAAATCTCGCATGAAGTTAGAGTTTAGAACAGTGGGTAGAATGGACCACTACTTTTGTGTGAAAAAATACCATACAAATATCGTAGACAAGCAAATCATGTAGATGAGTTTAAATTTGGAGATACAGAGGGGCCTCTTGCTTTTGGAGATGATCGCAAAATAGTTAGGGGTTCAAATGAACCAAAAACAGAAAAAAAATCCTGATTACACAATTGAAGCCAATCGACTTGCCTGAGAAGAATGTTAAGGACATCGAAGAAGTCTAGTATTTTAGTTAATCATTGGATTAAATTTATCCGTGACATAATTTCAAAGGCGAAATCTTCCAAAATGGATTTAGACATAAGGGGGCTTTTAACATATTGTAGTGTTGTAGGGTATCACATAGTCGGCCCCGCACGACTATAGCTTTTGCTTACTTGTTTTTTTTTAAATTTTATTGAATGAGAGCAAAAAAAAAATCGGAAGTAGCATCGAATTTTAGAATAAGTGTAGATTTGTTCGAATTGATCACCTGTGGCACGAATTATGGCCTTCAAACGGCCAATGAAACCGGCATACGCTGCCCGCATGTTGCTCTGTTACCATTCCCGGCGAAGCGCTTGCTTGAGGTGATCGATACTTTGATATTTTTAGTGCCAACCTTGCTTTCCAAAATACTCCAGACACAATAGTCCAACGGATTGGTATCCGAAGATGTTTATGGCCATTGTGTGCTGGAAATGAAGCGAGGAACCTTATTTTGTAACCATTCTTGGGTAGCGCGTGCTAAATCCTGTTGGAATGTCCAAGGTCTGCGGCCAAAACTTTTGCGTGTCCAAGGCTTTCATAAACCCTCCAGAATATGTTTGCGATAATATTCGCCATTTATTCTGATGCCACGGTCGATTAATACGAGCAGAAAGCGACCATCGGCTGTTATGGCGGCCCACACCATCACCATGGCCGGCGCTTGAGTTCTGGTGGCCAAACGAAGGTGCACATTTTCAGCTGACCTCTTTGGCAAGCACAACCGACTGATACTTTTTAACTCGTTTGTCTGTTTTTTATGTTTTTAATACAAAATCGAACAGTGTTGGCTTGTGTGTTCGGGATACCATAGCATTTTGTTGTTGCAAAATGGTCAGGCTTAATCCCTTTATTGTTGTTTTTATAAAAAAAAATCCTTTTCTACTTAACCTTTTAAATTTTACCAAACTTATGAAAATCCATTTCCTTATTTTTTCCAGAGGATAACCATTACATGGCATTCGGCATTTCACCCAACAAGGATCGCAGTGTTATGATTGGTTCCGATGTTGTTGTCAGTTGGGTGGAGAAAGACACCGGAAAGGGTTATGCCGTTGACTACTATCTCACAGACAAATCACAATGTTCGGGTCGTCGTGGTTCCTGCCCAGATGTTAACATTCAAGACAACACAAATTCCGTACGTTTGCTCAACGCTGCCATGGTTAATGGCTATTCAATTGTGACATATCAACGTTCGTTGAATGCGACCGATAAACTGGACTTACCCATTTCTCGTAATGGTTTTGAGGCTATTGTTTGGGCCATTGGTCCATTGAATGAACGTAATGAAACCTCGTTCCATTCGCATTTCAACAAGAACACCCACTACATTGATTTTGGACGTCAGCCAACATGGAACTGTCCAACACCGGAGGGTACAACCCCGGAACCAAATAATGACGACGATGATGATGATGCCGAGGATAGGGCCGATCAAGGTAAGGGTTATCCGGCAGCCGGTAAACCAAATGGCAATGCTGGAATACCAGAAGAAGAATTCTATGACAATAATCGGGCGCAGGCTTTGCAAAGTGCCAATCGTCGTACTCAGAGTGGGGGCAATCAATTAGCCCAGCGTAGACCAGTGCCTACACCCAAACCTGTGGCCAATGAAGTTGGTGCCTGGGAAATACCACCCATACAGTGTTATGAACCCGAGGATGGGGTATTCTATGCTCAGATGGGTCCCACTGGTGGCAAGCATGGTTATTCGGCCATAACAGGTAAGGAGAGATAGCTTTGTTGTATGACCTGGTGTGATGGCAATTTGTTTTTCAGGTCATGTTGGCTGGGGCATTTCATGGTACATTAATGGTCTTTTGATTCCTGAAATCCATGTGGTCCGTGGCAAGACCTATACCTTTGTGGTAGAGGGTGGCAATAACCCCGACATACCAGCCAAATATCATCCATTCTATATTACCGATGACCCCGTGGGAGGCTATGAACACAAACGGGAAGAGGAGAAGAAGGTAGGATTCGGATTGTCTAAAGTTTAAATCACTAACGTTTCTTTTGTGATTTTTAGAATATACGCATCTTTGCCGGTGTCCATCGTTCGCGGTCTGGCCAAGTCACACCCACCGGTGTAGGTCGTCTCTGCAACTGGACACCCGATGTTGATGGCCCACCGGCCGATGATTACCAATCTTTCGGGGCCTATCAACGTACCCTCTCCCTAAAATGTGATCCCGGTGAGCCTGGTGTCATCACCTGGAAACCCGATCGCAGCACCCCCGATACCGTGTACTATCACTGCTTTACCCATCGTTATCTGGGTTGGAAGATCCATGTCCACGATAGTTGCGATGATGCTCGCTATGCCGCCTCGCAGAAACATTCGGTACGTGTACCAGCTCCTGTGCGTGCGGATGATGAATTGGAAGCGGAAGAGTCGATACGTCATGAAACCAAGGTCAGCCCCAACGAAAATTTTTTGTTAAAGCACCAATCAGATTTAATTAAGAATCACAATATGAACGGAACTCCGCCAAAATTATCATTTGAAATAACCAAATCAACGGAAATTACTAAATTGATTTCAGATGGCATCCGCGCTGCTGAGGCTCTCGAGGATAGCATATTGAGGCAGAAACATCAACAACAACAACAACAGGTGGCGCCCACGGCCAGTGGAGATGAAGGTGAACAGCAACTGGGACCAGTGATGGTTAGCAACAATCCAAAAGTAAAAACCGCACTCCCAGCTGGCAATCAATTGGGACCACCACTCCAGCCACCGTTCATACCAACAGCTGCCCCAGAGACCTTGCATGGCGAAACTAATTTACACACAAACTTTAACGCACCTCCATCTTCATCGTCCGCACAGTCACAGGCGTCGTCGTCATCATCGACATCATCATTATCACCATCACAATCATCATCCTCATTAGCGCAAGCACCATCAACGTTATCCATTAGTAAACACCCATTAACACCAGCCCTTTTGGCTACACAGCACATTAACCCCAATGCACAGCTACACATGGTCCATCACCATTTGGGCCCACACAATCTAACTGGTAGTTTACCACCACAGAAAACCATTAGCCTATCTGAGTATTTGAGGCCACCGTTTAATGCCCCAATCTTCCATCCCGTTAAGTTGCCGGGACCAAGACCCTTTCCGGGGCCATTGAAAAAATTGCCAGGCTCCAAACCCATATTGCCACAGCATTTGCCAAGACATCCACCGGGGGGAGCAGGAGGTATAATGGTACATGGCAATGGTCCGCTGCCCCAACCCTCGGTTATTGTCAATCATTATCGCAAGCCGGTACCCACATTGCTGAGACCCTTTTTCAAGGAAAATCCCTTTCCTCTCCAGCCATTGGCTGCCTCGGTGCTGCTGTTGGGCCAACCCACGGAACTTAGCAATCACCGTAAAACCGATCAACACAATGGCCACCACAAGAAACCCATAATACCAGTGCCATATGGAGATCTGACACCCCAGGGTTCATTGCAGAAACCAATTTTAACAAAAATCCATGGCGGAGAAAAGGCAAAACCCCACATGAAAATTCCCCATCCCGTGGCCGGAGAAAAGGTCAAACCCTATGATATTCCATTGATAATAAGTTCCACCACAGTCGGGACACCAACGTTAGTTAGTGATCTAAATCCAGTGGGAGTGTTCAAGAGTCCCTTTGATGTCCATGAGGTGGCAGAGGAACCCTCTGCCGCTGAAATAGCCTCCATGAAACCGGCCGTCAATGAAGGTTTCAAACCCGATACTGTGGTCGTGGAAAGTGGCTTTAAACCCATACTCAGACATGATGGACCCATGCCACCACCAGAAGTTGTCGAACAAATTGCCAATCGTCGTGAAGACCCAGGTCTAGAAATTGACGAGGCCATGGAGTCGGACACTCTGTTCCTAACCGCCCAGGCCCAACACACTCAAACGCAACACTTTGAACCAATGTTTATACCCTCACCACCGGATAGTACCAATGCAACGATAATTATAAGGAAATCTTCGGGATTACAACTACAAACGTCACAAAGTCAGGCTACAAGTTTGGCTCCCAGAGATCCGATATACCAGCCCCAACCCATTAGTTCACATTTGAAGTCATCCATGCCGGAAACGGCCAAATTGAGAAATGCCACATTGCAGGATATACTCAATGAAGATTCGGATGAAACCGAGGCGGAATTGGAAATCAAGGATAATTTACAAAATAATATTGAGGAGGTGTTGACTCCATTGCATCATAAATTGACTAAATCGGGGGTATCCATTCAAAATGAGAATAAAACAAAACAGTCCTCTGAAACTTTGGATTTGGCAAGACCCCATAAAGAAGCCGGGGAAAAGGAAGAAGAACTAGACGTGGACATTGACAAAGAATATTCCCTTAAATTAAAATCCCAAACAAGTCCAAAACCAGAATTGAAAACCACAAATGCTGGCAGTAGCAGTACCACACGAAGCACTCCTCCTCCTCCACCTCCCCAAAAGCCCCTCAGACGTTATGATAATCAAAATCTAGATGATGTCAGCATGGATGTCGAAGATGAAGAACAGTTTGACGAAAATGAACATCTTGAGGACTTATTCGATTTGGAAGAGGATCAGTATATTGGCACCGAGCCGGAGGCACAAGCAGCTGAACGCATTGAGGCATATTATTTACCACCAGATAATAGTAGAGCCCCTCCCACTGATAAACCCAGCAACGGAGCGGTTATTACATACGATGGTAAATCGGTGGTGGATAGTTCTTTGGTTCTGCCACCAAAATTAGATTCAGAGATTGGCAATGACAATGACGAAGATGATGAAGACTTTGCGTCGGCTCGTTATTTTGGCCGTAATCGGGGTGATGGACGTGGTATCTCCAAGCTTGAACAGTTGATCAGAAATACACCACAATTTGTACCATTTCGTGGTGAAATTCCACCCTTGAGTCCCGACTTGAGTCCTGCCTCAGTTAGTCAACAAAGTGCCTTGCCTTCGCCCTTAACCTCACCCTCATCTTCTCGACCCGGTGCTACTAAACTGCAATCGATAAATGCCAATAAATACAAATCATAGATCAATTTAACATTCATTTACTCACCATTGAATCATTCTCTCACCCAAAATTAACTTGAATTATTATTCCGCAACCACAAGAGGCATTAGTTTCGAAATTTGTTTTATTTCTCTTTTCTTTTTTTAGTTTTCATAGGGCAGCCCAATAATCCCAACATCTCCAAAATCTACCACCTACTACCACTACTCTCTAATACCAACACCAAGAACTTACCACGTAGTTGAATCATTGCAGCATTAATCTCTTTTAGTTTTCGTACTTGCCATCATCGATGACGGATGTAAATTTAACATAAATCTGATTGATTATTAACAACTTCATTTGAATCGAAAAAAGCCACTCCGACATGAAAATTTTGTATATTTAGTCTAAGTTATGTATAACGTTCTCATTGATCTTTCGCCTTTTCTTATCAAGCGTTCTTTTTTACAACAAATAGATTTTTTATTATTATTTTATATACATATTATAGGAAAAAATGCTATCTATATATATAAGAATGTATGTGTGTGTATATATACATATGCAATATGTATCATCGTATCTTATAAAAGAAGAAAAAATCACAATATGCTATAAGAAATTGTATTTTAATAAATCTATATATAATCATTGTTAAATAAACAAGTTCGCAGTTGTTTCACTTTTCGGAGAATATTTTCTCGGAATTGTCTCTTGGTAGAAAATAAAATCGCGTAAAAATGTGAAATTTTGAAATTTTTATTTTGACTTTTGTAATGATTTATATTGCATGATTTTGACTTACTATTTTCGAATGTATATTTGTAGTGTTTTTTTTTTTTTTTTTTTTTTGAATTCTTATATGATGTGTAGTCTTTTTAGGGTAGTACAAAGCGGCAACAGAAGAGGAATTATTTTCATTATTTAACAGAAAGTTATATTAGTTACTACGGTTATAACTCAAAAACGGGTTGACGGATTCTGACAATTCACACAATTTCGGAATGTCATCTTGGCAAAAAAAACCGCGTGAAAATATGCCAATAAAAATGCGAATGAAAAAAATATTTTAAACGTACATTTTTTATTGTTTTGAATTCTGAATGAATAATATTAAAAATATTAATCAATGGCGATCTTTCATGTCTAAAATTGGCATCTAGCTTAAAAATCCAGGACCTACATCGTGCTTCAGCTGGAAGATGCGAACTCATTTAAACAAACAAAAATGACCGACAAAGCGTTATGGGGCTCATTTCAAAACGTGGACCTACTTTTTATACCCTACACCACATCGTGGTAAGGGTATTATGTCTTTGTGCATTTGTTTGTAACATGGAAAAGGAAGCGAGATAGACCCATAGTTACTTTTGAGAATCCCCATAGAATCACTTTCTGAGTTGATTTATGCATGTCAGTCCGTCTGTCCATGTATTCTTGTGAACAAAATGCAGGTCGCATTTATTATCCGATTGAGATGAAATTTTGCACAAGTCATTTGTTTGGCCCAAGGACGAACCCTATTAAAATTTTAAAATTGGAGATAATCGGTAAAAATTTAGATATAGCTCCCATATTTTATTGTGCACCAAACGTGTAATATCAGTCCGATTAGTATGGAATTTTGCATATACAACCAAATTAGGCCTGAGTAAGTATGCCAAATTTGATCGAAATGGGTTCAGATATAGCTATAGCTCCCATATATATTGTTCATCCGATTTGTTATTTTTGTCCCCCGCAGCCGTAATATGCACTCTGCAACAACAATATTTGGGGAAATATATCAGATACATCTCAGAAATACCTTTGCTAAATTTTATCGAGATCGTTTCAGATTTGGATATAGCTCCCATATATAACTTCGTCCGATTTGCCTTTTATTGTGCACCAAACATCTAATATTTACCTAAATTGGATGAAATTTGGCACTAACGACCGAATTGAGTCTAGAAGTTAGTATGTCAAATTTGGTGAAGATCGGTTCATATATAGCTACAGCTCCCATATATACTGTTCATCCGATTAGTCATATTTGTTACCCACAAATGCTTCGCCATATTTAGTCCTTTGAACATTAAATTATAATTATAATCATAGCGTGTATGATTGAATTCTCCCATAAAAACTTTTAATTGTGATGTGGAGCTCCACTAAATTAGCAAAGTGGTGTAGGGTATCATAAAGTCGGCCCCGCCTGACTTTAAGACTTTCTTTACTGGTTTCTTTTTGAATTCTAATATGATGTGTAGTGTAGCGGCAACAGAAGAGGAATTATTTTAATTATTTAAAAGAAAGTTATGTTAGTTACTACGGTTATAACTCAAATACGGGTTGACGGATTTTGACAATTCAAACAATTTCGGAATGCCAATAAAAATGCGAATGAATAAAATATTTTAGACGTACATTTTTTATTGTTTTGAATTCTGAATGAATAATATTAAAAATGTTATTAAATGGCGATCTTTCATGTCTAAAATTGGCATCTAGCTTTCAAATCAAGGACCTACATCGTGCTTCAGTTGGAAGATGCGAACTCATTTAAACAAACAAAAATGACCGACAAAGCGTTATGGGGCTCATTTCAAAACGTGGACCTACTTTTTTCATATGACAATAATCAGTCTAATGAGTAATTAAAAATGTAAAACTCATTGGGACTGAGTTAGTGAAATACCGAATGTAAAGAGTGCAAAAATAGTAGAGCGAATTGGATGAAAATGATCCTCCCAGAAATTCTTCCTAAAATTTCATATGGGTCATAACCGACAGATAACGGTACAACGCGATTTCAAGTATACAAGGTGAGAACTGCAATCAACTTCAGACTGCTGTCATATCTAAGCCACTCGTCCGACAGCAGGTAAAATTATTCCAGTGACAGCTCATTATATTGTTTACAAGCGTACAAAAGTATTTTGGTTAGAATTATCCAGAAAAAAGTCATTCGTGATGGAATTCAAGCGTGATAGTGTGATTTCTTTATATTTGGCTGGAAAACAACAAGTGGCTATTGTTAGAGCACTCCAGCATTTAAATGTGAATAAATATTTTGTGTGTCGTACCATCGCCCGTTACCAACGCCAAGAAGTGGACGGAAGAAAACAGCAACATCAGCAGAAATGGATCGAAAAGTAAAGAAGCGAATTAATAGAAACCCGCCTCGCAGTGGCCGAAAAATGGCTCCATTCGGCAAATATTGAAAAATGATATCGGGGTAAAGCCATTAAAATTCCAAAAAGTGCAAGAACTTAGACAACAACAGAAAGAAAATAGACTCAAAAGAGCTAAAGAGCTGTTTCGCTTGGCCGAAAGTGGTGAACTGTCGAATTTGATTTTCTCCGATGAGAAAACATTTGTTGTCCAGAAGTTTGTAAACAAACAAAATGATCGTATTTACCATCCAAAGAGGTCAGCTGAAAATGTGCACCTTCGGTTGGCCACCAGAACTCAAGCGCTGGCCATGGTGATGGTGTGGGCCGCCATAACGGCCGATTGTCGCCCTTCGCTCGCATTAATCGACCGTGGCATCAGAATAAATGCCGAATACTATCGTGAAAATATTCTGGAGGGTATATTAAGGCCTTGGGCACGCAAAAATTTTGGCCGCATACCTTGGACATTCCAACAGGACTCAGCACCATCGCACTCAGCACGCGCCACCCAATAATGGTTACAAAATTATGTTCCTCGCTTCATTTCCAGCACACAATGGCCACAAAAATCTCCGGATACCAATCCGTTGTTATTATTGTGTCTGGAGTATTTTGGAAAGCAAGGTTGGCACCAAAAAATACCAAAATATCGATCACTTCAAGCAAGCGCTTCGCTGGGAATGGGCCAAAATACCCCGGATCAACATTCGGGCAGCGTGTGACGGTTTCATTGGACGTTTGAAGGCCATAATTCGTGCCAAAGGTGACTAATTATTTTTTATTATTAATTAAATTTTATGTTATTTTTTGCTTTCATTCAATAAAATTTAAAAAAAAGAAATAAATATGGCGTTTTACTTTGTTGCCAATTTATTATCTCACCCTGTATATATTATATTTTCAAGTAAAAGTACTTGCTTAATAGGTAGGTAGGTTAACTTCTAGAATGATAAACATAAGACCCAAAGTCCTCTTCTGTAGATATACAACCTTCCAGGAATGGGTATTTATATAATGCTTGGTAGGTGGTGGTGTGTTTCTGTAGAAATGACGTCTAGTGGTGCTTTTCTTGAATGGGAATATCATTTATTCCTTAGATGGAAGCTCTCTTATGCTGTAGACACAAGATCTTCTTTCAGATTTCCGATTTTATAAAAATCAGAAATTATTGTTATAGTTTACATTATAGAATGATATATATATATATATATATATATATATATATATATATATATATATATATATATATATATATATATATATATATATATTTTTTTTTTTTTTTTTTTTTTTTTGAGGGCGAAGACATTAATACAAAAACACACATCTAGTTTATTCACAAGAGCCCACCATTTTTGAAAGATTTTTAACTAATTTTGTTTCAAAACCTACAATGTTGGGCTATAGTGTACTTTTTTGAATTTGATTTACTTTAGCACAATTCCTATACTCGAAAAGCTAGTTAAACTTGTAGGCAGAATTAAGAGAACACACAAAAATATATATCGTTGTTTTTGCTGGGTACATTTGGATGAATTGGATAACTTTCATTCCCGTACTTTCTGGATAAGGCAGTTCTCCCAGAGATAGTTCAACAATTCTAGTTGTATCGTTAACAAGTAAAAAGCTGTAAGTTCGAATACCCTCCACCATTTGCAACGAATTTGGCAATTCTCAAAAACAATAAAATCCGTAAAAAAAAATCTGTTAAAATCTTAAAAATACCGAATGTAGCTGTTATATTAGGGTCTTTACGACGTAGACATACATAGACATTGTTGTCATAAACCGTTACCATATTTAAATTGGAAACTTGAAATAAACGGTGATTAATGTAGCTAAAATCATCAAAATACCGTACATAGGGAGGTACCGTTACATCCGAACTATACGAAAACCTGGACTTGCATAGACAATTTTTTGTTACAGCCTATAGCTTCCATTATGAACTTCAAATAAGACATCTCAAACAATTTCGATGAGAATTGTACCTAAAATCGTAAAAAAGCAAATATAGGGAGGTACTGATATATGGGGTCTATACGAAGACCTGGACCAACACAGACAATTTTCTGTAATAGGCTGTAGAATCCCTTTGGAATTTCAAATACCAAATTTGAAATAATTCCGGTGAATAATGTCTCTTAAATCTTCAAAATACCGAATATTGGGTACCGTTATGTGGGGGCTATACGAAGACGAGGACCTGCACAGTCAATTTTCTGTCGTAGGCTGTGGTATTCCTTTGGAACTTCAAATATCAAATTTGAAATAATTCCGGTGAATAATGTCGCTAAAAACATCATCAAAATACCAAATATAGGGAGATACAGTTATATGGGGGTTATACGAAGACGTGGACCTGCACAGACCATTTTCTGTCATAGGTTGTAGTATCTATTACGAATCTCAAATATCAAATTTGAAACAATTCCGGCGAATAATGTCGCTAAAATTATCAAAATACCGAATGTCGGGAGATACCGTTACATGGGGGCTATATGAAAACGTGGACCTACCTGACCCATTTACGAACTGGCAAAATAAACATGTCTGCAAAATTTTTCAATTCGATCGAAAGATAACGTGATTACAACAGACAGACAGACACAGAGACGGACATGGCTAAATCGTCTTAGAATTTTACGCTGATCAAGAATATATATACTTTGTTGGGACTGACATGAGTATTTCGAGGAGTTACAAACGGAATGACAAAATTAATATACCCTCCATAGTATGGTTGAGGGTAATAAAACACATTAAATATCCATTTAAAACAGTTAATAAACAATTTAGACTGGCAACGCCATACTCACCTTGCTATTTGTATTTTCACCTGAAAGTATGCTCCACGTTTATTCTATTTAAAATGTGTTTACTAGTTATGCGCTAGTGAAAAATTAACGTATTTTGTTAATAAAATTGTAACATGATAAAATAATAATAATAATAATAATAATAATAATAATAATAATAATAATAATAATAATAATAATAATAATAACAATAATAATAATAATAATAATAATAATAATAATAATAATAATAATAATAATATTAGTAATAATAATAATAATAATAATAATAATAATAATAATAATAATAATAATAATAATAATAAGAATAATAATAATAATAGTAGTAATAATAATAATAATGATAATAATAATAATAATAATAATAATAGTAATAATAATAATAATAATAATAATAATAATAATAATAATAATAATAATAATAATAATAATAATAATAATAATAATAATAATAATAATAGTAATAATAATAATAATAATAATAATAATAATAATAATAATAATAATAATAATAATAATAATAATAATAATAATAATAATAATAATAATAATAATAATAATAATAATAATAATAATAATAATAATAATAATAATATAATAATAATAATAATAATAATAATAATAATAATAATAATACTAATAATAATAGTAATAATAATAATAATAATAATAATAATAATAATAATAATAATAATAATAATAATAATAATAATAATAATAATAATAATGATAATGATAATGATAATATAATAATAATAATATAATAATAATAATAATAATAATAATAATAATAATAATAATAATAATAATAATAATACTGATAATAATAATAATAATAATAATAATAATAATAATAATAATAATAATAATAATAGTAGTAGTAATAATAATAATAATAATAATAATAGTAATAATAATAATAATAAAAGTTCTAAAATGCTCTAAACATTGAATACTTTGTATTGTACAAACGAAATAAGCTAGAATTTTGGAATGAGAGTCACTAGCGCAGTGCAGGACAGATGTATCAAAGGGTTTTTATAAATTCGCAACTAAGGTTACGAAAATGGAACTAAACTTCTACAATGGTATGATTTGGTATTGATTCTGGAATTTTGAAATTTGATGTAGTGCGTACTGTTGGTATATGTAGTTGGCAGAGAGATAGAGGATAGAGATGGAGTTCTGAAATTCGGTATAGGGGTCACTGTTTGTGTTAGGGTGGGGAGATGGTTTTGACCATCGTAATATTTATGCTAAAAGGTATTTTAAGTACTACAAAGGACTAACACACACTGTTGGAACGCATCTAAAATATTAAGGTGGAATCTTCGCTGACGAAGTGGCGGGCACTTGGTAGTCTATATATAAAACAATATGATGACGCTATTAACCCAAGAACGGCTGGATAGGGTTTTTGACAATTCTCACTTATTCAGAATGGACTTTTGACAGATAAGGATGAAATCAAAAAAAAAATCACATGAAGATATATCTGTGTTCTATTCTGTGATATTTTTCTATATTTTTTGCCATTTTTATACCCTCTACCTTGGAAAGGAGGGTATATTAACTTTGTCATTCCGTTTGTATCATCCCTAAATATTCGTTTTAGACACCATAAAGTATATATATTCATAATCAGCATAAAATTCTAAGTCGATTTAACGATGTCCGTCTGTCTGTCTGTCTGTCTGTCCGTCTGTCTGTCTGTCCGTCTGTCTGTCTGTTGAAATCACGATACAGCCCACATTATTTGACGTAGAGCTCCAAAATTTAGCAGAGCTATTTGCATTATGTCTAGGATGGTTGGTATTGAAAATGAGATATATCGGTCCACGTTCTGGTATAGTCCCCATATAACGGTACCTCCCGATATTCGGTATTTTGATGATTTATGCCACATTTTTTCACGGATTTGTCTTAAAATTGGTATTTGTAGGTCATAGCGGGTCCCTGAGCGTGTGGCAAAACATTGCATGTATAGGTCCACGTTGTGGTATAGCCCCCATATTAAGGTACCTCCCGATATTTAGTATTTTAGTTTTTTTTACCACATTTTTTCACCGATTTGTCTAAAAATTGGTATTTGTGGGTCATAATGGTTTCCAGCCCCGGTGGCGGAACATTGCATGTATGGGTCTATAATTTGGTATAGTCCCCATATAACGGTACCTCCCGATATTCGGTAATTTGATAATTTTTGCCACATTTTTTCACGGATTTGTCTTAAAATTGGTATTTGTAGGTCATAGCGGGTCCCTGAGCGTGTGGCAAAACATTGCATGTATAGGTTCACGTTGTGGTATAGCCCCCATATTAAGGTACCTCCCGATATTTAGTATTTTAGTTTTTTTACCACATTTTTTCACGGATTTGTCTGAAAATCGGTATTTGTTGGTCATAATGGGTTCCAGCTCCGGTGGCGAAACATTGTAATTATAGGTCCACGTTTTGGTAATTTGATGATTTTTGCCACATTTTTACAGGGATTTGTTCGAAAATTGGTATTTGTTGGTCATAATTGGTTCCAGCTTCCATGATTTGATATAGCCCCCATATAACGGTAACTATAAATACTGGGATTTGTCTAAAAATTGGTATTTGTGGGTCATAATGGGTCCTAGTTTGTGTAGCGAAACATTGTAATTATAGGTCCACGTTTTGGTGTAGCCCCCATATAACGGTACCTCCCGATATTCGGCATTTTAATGGTTTTTGCCACATTTCTTCTAATGTTTCTTTTACCCTAAGGTGGAGGGTATTAAAAGTTTGGCCCGGCCGAACTTACTGTTTTTTTACTTGTTTTTTAAATACGACAGATGGAGCAAATACTGGGCAAACGTCACCGGTCAAAAACCAAAGGTAACATTTTTTTACGTAATGTGTTGAATTGTTTCCAAAAATTTAGTTAAATGGGTTTAGCTCTAAGGGGATTTTCAAATTCATATCTACAATTGTTTGCTGTAATTTATAGACTCAATACCGCTAGACTGATTTTCCTGCAAATTTCCTAATATACTTCAATATCGCCTGGAAATAAAATTGGCTATATACATTTTCGAAAAATAAATCTACCAAGTTATATTGAAATCTGTTTAGATTTGGGCATAGCTCCTTATAAAGTGAATACAATCGAAACGGTAGTGAATCGCACCGGGGGTAAGTTCCGGTTTTTTTTAAATATTCTCTTTAGCCTAAAGACTTAATATAAAAACTCTGTACTTACCGCCAAATCCTCTATTTTTTCAACCAAATAAAAAACTCATCGCATAGAATTCTGTTTTTCTTTACATATAGTTTTTATTTTTTATAGTTTTTCTTTGTTTTGTTTTTTTCTTTTGTGGTTAATTTCGAATTGTTGTTAATTTCATTTCATTTAGTTGTTTTTGTTGTTGTTCTTCTTCTTCTTCTGTTTTGTTGTATTTGTGGATGTGTGTGTTTTATAGTGTAATGTTTTTGTTGTGTGTTGTTAGGTATATTTTACATTTCATTTGTTGTTGTTGTTTTTGTAAATAGTTGTAGTTAGCATCAGTTTGTAGGAGTTTCCCTTTTTTCACATTGTTGTTGTTCTTTTTTTCAAAGTTTCAACGTCGTGTATCTTGTTGTTGTTGTTATTTAAACAGGAGGAATGATTTTTGTTGTTTGTTTTTGTTTTTAGATGAAATTTATGTTTTCTTTGTTTAGAGAAACTACAATTGTTTTGTTTTATTTTATTTGTTTTTTGTTTTGTTTTTATAATTATTACCATATAATTTAAGGTATTTTTAGCTGTTTTTTTTTTGGTTTTGTTAACTTATACTAAAATTTTTTCAACTTTGTTTTTAAGGATTTAAATTTGTTGGTTTTTGTTTGTTTGTTTTTTTTTATGGAAATTAAAATATAGTAGTATGTTAATGAGAAAATATAGTATATGTAAAGTGTTGTGTTGTAATTTTGTTTTTTATTTCTTTTTTGTTTTTTTGTTGAGAGGGAGATTGTTTTGCAAAAATCATTCAATCTCGTAACGAATTTTAAATATGTACTCAATCAATCATTCTATGTTCTTGGCAATTGTTTAGTATTTTTAAACAACAACCAAGGAGGGACATTTTTGGAAATATCGAAAAATTCTTTGTTTTTTTTTGTGCGGCCACCTTAATTGGCGCTGGAAACCCAGAACATTGAAAACTGGGAAAATTCAATCCTCCCGTGAGAGACTTACAACTACATTTTTGGTTTTTGGTGAGAGGATAATTTTCTGAGTAGACATTGCCTGGGTCAAAAAAATAAAGAATTTTCCATAGCTCACAAAAAGGGCCGGGCAGGTGGAAGGCCTTTGGCCCTGGTACACGGAAATTTCGATTAATCTTTGTACATTTTGAGCCCCTTAATTCGTTGCGTATCGAATGACTTTTCGTGGGGGAGATGTTGTTGTGCTAACTGTTGTGTGTTCCCTTTTTTCGGAACATTGTGCAGTATGTCAATGAGCTACTGGAATGGGAATTTTGAAATTGTTTTAGGTCTCCCCTTGGGATTTCCGTGTTTAGACCCGAGCGGAGACATACAAAACTATTTCAAAATATCGAATGATACTCGATTGGGGGAGATGAATCATGACAGCGGTGATAGTGATTTTGTTAAAATATTTAAATTTTCTTTTTGTTTCTTTTGTTGTAAATAAATTTTATAATTTTCATTTAAATTTTTTAGAGGTTGTTTGTTTTTTTCTGGGTTTGTTAAAAATTATTATTTTAAAAAATTTTCGAAATGTTGGTCAACCTCCAATTAAAATTGTTTTTCAAAAAATCAAATAAAATTGGAATTTTGTTTTCTTTTGAGAAAAAAAATCTTTTTTAAGCTTTGAAACAGGAAATTTGTTTATAATTTGTTTTCCAAAGGAATTTCAATGTTTTCTTTTTTTAAGGTTTTCTTTTTTCATTCAATTCATTGAGATTTTGTTTGTTTTTTTTTCTTAAAGAATTTCTTCCTACAGTAATGAAGAAAATTTTTAACAAATCCTTGTCACTTATTCGTTTTTGGTCTTCTTTTACAAATCGTTCCACAAAATTTTCTTCAAAAACAATGTTACGTCTCAAATTTGGTTGCTATACATTCCAAAATTAGCATTTGTGAACAATTTTCAAGCATTTACTGTATTTGTTGTGTCAAAGTTTGGGTGTTTCCGTTTTTCTTGCTTCTTCTTTGCATTTCTTTTCTTTTGGTATTTGAAGAAGTTTTCATTTGTGACATTTCTGTTTTTTTTTTTTTTTATTAAGGTCTTCATTTAAAATACTTCTTCATCTTCTTTTACTTCTTCATTAACTTTTTAGCTAAAAATATAATAATTTTTTGGTTTTCACTTGTTTTGCTTGTTTTAATTACAAAGGTACTTCATGTTTGGTTCAATTTCATAATTTCACTTTTTTCTTTGTTCAGTGGGAATTTACTTTTTACTCAGGTTCGCGTTTGTTTTTTTGTTTAACAATTTTGTTGGTAATGTTAGCTTGACTTGTTCAGGATTTTATTTTCGTTTTTGTCTTAAAAATCAATCATCAGTTGTAGAGGAATTTCTTTTTTTTTTTTTTTTTTGGTAATATTGGTCTCAGATTTCTTCAAGTTTTTCTTTTCCCGTGTATACTACACATAAATAGCTATATTTGTTGTTGCCAATTGTTGTTGTTGTTATTTACCATATTTTATTTTATTTTAAAATTTTCATTTTAATTTTGATGGTCTTCTTGCTAATATTCAAGCCAATTTTAAATTGTTTGTGTTTTGTTGTTTTGTTTTAAATAAAAATGAGAGTACTTTAAAAAAATATAATAAAATAATTGTTATAAAAACAATTTGAAAAAATAATAAATTAGCTTCTCGTGAATAAGGGTTTATAATATAAAAAAAACTATTAAAAAAATCCTGCTTGACATCAAGTTTGATGAGAATTTTGGGAAAACTTCCAAAAAAAGTCAAACAAATTATTTTATTTAAATTAAGATAAATATTTTTTAGTTCTACCAAAAACCTACTTTTGGCTGTTGGAGATATGACAATTTTATAAATTTAATAAAAAGTTCCGAGATTTACATTCATTTTCAAAATACTGAAACATTTAGTTAAGACTCATTTTAATTGGAAATTGAAAAGAGTTATTAAAATGGAATTACTCATCATTCCTTCTCTGTATCCTCATCTCTTTTTTTTCTTTCCCAAAAATAAACCAGTAAAGAAAGTCTTAAAGTCGGCCCTGAATCGATTTCTACTTAATTTGCCGAGGCATTTGTAGCTTTATGAGAGCTATAGCTATATATGAAATGATTTCCATCAAATTTGGCATACTTATTTTTAGGCTCTGGTCTGGTCGTATGTGCAAAATTCCATACTATTTGGGCTGATATTACACGTTTGGTGTCCAATAAAAGGCAAATCGGACGAAGATATATATTGGAGCTATACCTACATTTTGACCGATTATCTCCAATTTCTTCAATAAGGTTTGTTCTTGGGTGAAACAAATTATTTGTGCAAAATTTCATCTGGATCGGGCAATAAATGCGACCAGTACTTTGTTTACAAAAATACATGGACAGACGGACGGACGGACGGACATGCATAAATCGACTCAGAATGTGATTCTATGCAGATTATCAAAAGAAACTATTTCCTTATACCAGTTACAAACAAATGCTCAAAGACATAATACCCTGACCGTTGTGGTGTAGGGTATAAACAGTCGCTTAACCTTACTTTCAATATCTGATATAAGATAACTTTTTTGGTTGAACCTGGTCTAGACATTACTTTAGTTTATATAGTTTTTTTTACTGTGCCAAATATAAATGAATTTACAATATACTCCATCTGCCACCTTCCAATTTTCTAAGGCAGTTTGGCTTTATCTATATTCTAGCGGTGCTTTAAAAACTTAAGCCAAATCCTTCTCCAGAGAAAGATTGCTCTCCTATTTTAAGCTCTCACTGAAGGTAAGAATATACTTCTTTTGACATATAGAGCAAATAATGTCCTGGATCGTAAAAATACCTTATATGGGTACTATTACGTGTGGATTTTTATAAAGACCTTCCATAGGAGATTCTTTTTGACAGAAGAATCTTCTTTTGGCAAAAGGTCGTGATAAAGAGTCTTATGTAGATACAAATATTCTTGAATAAGTCTTGCATGGACAAAATATTTTCTTAAGATTTCCCATATACAAATCCTTCTCCAGAGAAAGATTGCTCTCCTATTTTAAGCTCTCACTGAAGGTAAGAATATACTTCTTTTGACATATAGAGCAAATAATGTCCTGGATCGTAAAAATACCTTATATGGGTACTATTACGTGTGGATTTTTATAAAGACCTTCCATAGGAGATTCTTTTTGACAGAAGAATCTTCTTTTGGCAAAAGGTCGTGATAAAGAGTCTTATGTAGATACAAATATTCTTGAATAAGTCTTGCATGGACAAAATATTTTCTTAAGATTTCCCATATACAGAAATATTCTCCAGTAGACAGAATTTCTTTTAAAGGAATTTTATATACAGAAGAGTTAATATCAGTCTTCCATGAACAAAACACATTTTATGATTTTTCTACAGAGAGCAGATAGCTTCCATAAGTCTTCTATGGACCTTCTATAAACAAAAAAACTTCCATAGACTTTCTTGAGATAGAATGCTTCTTTAGGTCTTCTAAAGACACAATAACTCATTTAGACCTGTTATTGACAGAAGATTTTCTATGAATCGTTCAAAAGGAGAAACAATTTTTTATAAAACATCTTCCATAAATCTCCTAAAAATCGAAGATCTCCCAAGTGGGAAATGGAATAATTTCTTTATCGCTTTTATAGATGCTATTGCGTGTTCAGCAATTTTATACATCGAACACATTTTTCGGATCCTGTCTATAAATTGAATACTTTCTAATGAAATCCTGTAAGCAGAGGACTTTCTATTTTCTTGAAGGATTTTGTTTTAAATATTGAAGTCTCTTCAATAAACGAAATACCTTCGAAAACCTCTTGTAAATATGTGCTATGAAAAACAAATTCATTGCTGTTTTCAACAGAAGTCCTTGTATATGCTTCCTTTTAGTCTCCAAAAATTTCAAATATTACACACATTTTTTAAGGGCCAAAAAGAACCTGAGGGAAATATGTTATGTTGATCCCGACACCTTCTTTATTAGAACACATATTTACTTGAGGAATGCTCGAAAAATATGAGATTTATATAAAGTTTACTCTCCACTCGTTTTTGTTTCTTGTGTAAGCACTCCCAAGTTAAAAATTTTTGAAATCTTAGAGTAAGAGTTGAAATGTTTGAAAGAGAGAAAGAGTATCCTCAAAGAGTGAAATCGATTGGAAACAATTATTTAGTTTGTTGATTTGTGTGCAAACAGTTTCTGATGTCGATTTCGAGTTTTGCTCGCATTTTAAAATTAGCAAAGCTTAAATGAAAATCGATCGATTTTTCCCTTTGGAACAGAGATCGGCAGCGAGCTCTTCTTCTTGAGAAAATGAAGAGAGTAAACAAACCGCACAGAGAGGAGGGATAATTAAATAAGTCAGGCACATTCATATGTATACGATTTAGAACTGAAGTTTACATATTTTCTCTCTGAGAAATTTTTTACCTCAGTTTGACTCTTCTTCACTGATCAAAAGATGAAGAGTGTAAACAATTAGCACAGAAAGATAGGATAATGAAATGGTTAAAGTTTACACATATTCTCTCTGAGATATTTTTTACTTTTCTGAAAAAAGGGAGAATGGAGATGAAAAAAGTAAACAATTACCACAAAAAGATAGGATAATGCAATGTCTAAAGTACTTTCATATACGGATATACGCATTAGAACTGACGTTTACATATTTTCTCTCTGACACATTTTTGTACTCTCCTGAAAAAGGAGCCACACTTGACTTATGTTTCCATATTTTTGTTCTCTCTGTCTGAGATGTTGTTTCTCTCAGACATTTCTGATTGTTCTCTTTAAGAAAGAGTGTAGTGATGGCAACCAAACATAAGCAAAAATCGCAGTTGAAAATTCTTGCAACTCTTGAATGTCTCGGATCTTTTTTAATAATTCTTCAATGATGTCTATTTGATATGGGATTTTTGTTGAAATGTTAATATAATGTTTTAAGCTGAAAAATGCTTATTCTCTCTCTCCCTTTAATCGAATTTAATGTGCTATTTCTGATAGAATGATCAATGATGTCAAATCTACATGCCTTACTTTTAATTGTTTCAATCCTGTTGGATCCTGTATTTTGAGTAAGAGTTGCTTAAATACTGTTTAAATTTAAAATTTATTTACGAAACTCTAAAAAAACATAGGATAAAAACTTTCCTATTTGCGTGGAAAAGGAAACTAACAGTTTGGGTAATTTATAATCATTAGTTTGCTTAATATTTTTCTGAAGAATTGTATTTTTGTTTTCTAATTTCAAAAAGACCCTAAGAATTGTTTCTTTTCATTTTACAATATACTCTTGTTAGCTAATCTCATTTTTTAATGTATGACACATATTTTTAATACTTGTTTCAAATCATAAACCCTTATTTGAGAAAAACAATTTTCCCATAAAAAAACAACAATTCATACAAAAAAAAATTAATTAAATAAAAAACTAAAAATAAATAAAAATGTCAAAATATTTATTTTTTTGGTTAAAATTCTAAAAATTATATAAAAATATATAAAATATATATTTAGTTTTTTTTTTAATGGAAAAATACTTTTCTACTTCTTGTTTTTTTGGTACTTTCAAAAGCTCTTGTTGCTGTTGTTAAATAGTTCTTTTTGTGCCTTTGTTTTTAGATTTCAATACAACCGGCCAATTGTTCTTTTAGTTTGCCGCCTTTTTCTTTTGTTTGGTAATCATAAATCTAAAATCTAAATTACATTTACTTATAAGTTAATTTAAAAAATAATTTCTATAGGTTTGTTTAGCGGTTTTCTTTGTGTGCGACGTTTGTTTTCAATTTTGCACCTGTTGCGCCATTTTGTTACTTTGGAGTTTTTGTGAATTTTTTGTTGGTTGAGTTCTTCGTCTTCTTTTAGAGCTATTTGTATTTAAAAGTGTTAATAAATTTGTTTAAAAAAATAGAAATTTAAATAAAACAATAAACTTAAAAGTATTCCAAAAAAAAATTAGGACTTAGAGGAAATTTTCCAGTTGTCATTTTTAGAACAAAAAATTGTTTTATAAATAAAAAAATATATTATGATGATTTTACGGGTTTCTTGCTTTATTTTTGCTTTATCTGTCGCAAATGTCCTGTACATGGTGTTGATGGCGTTTTTGGTTAATGATGTTACTCCTCCAATATTTTCTGTTCTTCTTCAAATTCTCTGGACGAGGGGATGTTTGTTTGGTTGATTTTAATTTAAATTTATTAACATTTTAAATCAAACGCTCGCTGTACCATATTCAGAAATCGGTGTTATTGCTGGCAATTTCACTTTCCGAATCCCCCTCAGCCGTTGTGGGTGGTAGGGCCAGTGACATCTGTTGGCCGGCCAAAGCCATTGAAGGTTCCGTATTACGACGTTTCATTTTGTTTTTGACTTTTTTCAACATGGTCGCCTGGTTGTGGATAATTATTTTATATTTTTGGAATTGTAATTTTTGGATTTTTCGCACACATTTATTTTATAAATTTTTATTATTTTTTGTAATTTTATTTTTTTTTTATTTAAATGTAAATTTAATTTTTTGGAATATTTTTTGTTTTTTGGTAAAAAAAGAGAAAAAAGATATTTTTGGTTTTTAATTTCTTTCAATTCAAGTAAATTAAGTAAAGAATTTATTTTCGTACATATTAAAAATAAATTAGTTATTAATTTTAACAAAATTAAAGGTGCAACAAATTCGCCATTATTTTAAGAAGAATATTAAAAGGAAATAATAAAGAATTGAAAAAAAGCTTTGAAAAATATTAAAGAAACTCTAATTAATTTTTGTTAGCTATTGAAAAAATAAAATAATAGAAGTAAATATATTTCAAATAAATAGACAATTTGAATAAAGCAAAAGCTTTTAAAAAATATTAGTATTTAAAATTATTTTTTACTAAGTTAGAATATTTGTCTATAGAAGCTAAGACTAGTAAGATGTGCTTTTGATTTTTTGTTTTGAGCACTACAATTGAAAGAGTACACGTTCCTTAAACAAAATCATGGTTTATAATTTAATAATAGTAGTTTATAATTAATGAACTTTAATTGCACCAAACACAAAAAAATTTTAGATTTATCCAAATTCTGCTCATTTTTGAGTCAACATATCCTTCAAAAAAGTTGTCAATACTAACAGCAGTGAGTACATAGTGAAAACCTCTCTTCCTCGTATGAGACCGCAAAGCTACCCAATATAATGGATTACTCTTTCTTGAACAGTGCCTAATGAAGCCAATTGTTTCTACGCTCAGCAGAATTAGTGCTCACATTGGAGCACAAAACAATACCGCAGAGCAACATTCGGGCCATAATTCGTGCAAAAGGTGACCAATTCGAACAAATCTAAACTTAAATTCTCTAAAATTTGAAGCTATTTCCGACATATTTTGCTTTCATTCAATAAAATTTAAAAAAATGTAAAAATTATGATGTTTGACTTTGTTGCAGTTTTTTTTACCTCGCCCTGTATTTTTCCGGTTCAAAATTCGATTTCAAATAGAAAAATTATTTTCACTTTGAATATTAAAATTACTTTTAAAACAAATCTTTTTTAAATGTAGCGAAATATTAAATTTGTAATTCAATTAAAATTATTTTTTAATAACATTTTTTTCTCAACTTTTTCAAATATTAAATTTGAATTATTTGTTGGTTTTAAAATCTAGAAATTGAAAGGTTTCTATTTGATTTTTCAGATATTGATTATGATTATCATGATGTTTTCTAAACCTTAATATTATATGTTTTTAATATACACCCCTGGATCGAACTTGTAATTAAATGTTCGAGATTAACTTCAAGTTGTATCGCAATATCGAAAGAAAATGAGGCGAAAAACTAATACCCATTTTATAGGTGTTTAATTTGACCATAATAGCCCGAAAAAGATAATTTTTTTAACATTAATTTCCTTTGAAATCCTAAAACGGGAAACCTAAGTGTACGGCTATTTTTATTTAGAGCTTTTTGGAATCAAAATTTTATTTTCATACGGGATTTTTTTTTAAGAATTTTTGACAAGAAGAGAATTTGAAGCAAAGCGAAAATCTATTGGATACAAAAAGGTAAATATCTAAAAAAAATTTTTTTTTTGAAAAAATTCAAATACTAACATACTTTAATATTGCAAAAGAAAATACAAAAAAATAGAAATAAATTAAAATAAAAATGAGAAATAAATCAAAAATAAAATGGTGGGAATTTTTGTTGGTGAATATTAAACAAATTAAAGGATGCTTTTGTTTCGAAACTGAGACCGATCCAAAAATAAAGGACTTCATATTATTATTTGACAATTATTTCTTTTGTTGTCCAAAATAACTTCCTAATGAATTTCAGGTTTCTTTCCTGAAAAATTAAATGGGTTTTCATTTAAAACTGGCTTCTGTATTTTTTTTTTTTTTCATTTTATTGTTGAGGAATTTAAATATTAAACATTTGTAAATGTAATTTGTTGTGACTTTAAACGTTAATAAATGCTTAATTAGCTTATTTAAAATGGGAATTTGCATTTTATTTTGTTATGTGGCTTTGAAATTCTATAGATAGCTATTATTTTTTAAAGAATTTTATTTTATTGGTGTTGTTGTATTTTGTTGGGTTTGTTTGATGTTGAGTTTTTTTTATTTTAAGATAAATTTGGAAAATCAAATCATTTTCTCTTTAAGGAATTTCTGTTTGTTGCATTTGATTTTTTTATAAAAAACACGAGAAAAGAAAACTTGGACCGGACGGACGCGACCTCTATGTATTGCTGTTAGATGTCTGTTGTTGGGGTTGCTGTTGTTGCTGCTGCTGTTTGTTTTGCTGTTGCTCCTGCTGTTGCTGCATTTGTTGTTGTTGCTGCTCCTTATCCTTGTCTTTTTCCCTATCATTGGCATTTGTTACCATGACAGCTGAATTGGTCATTTCCGAAAACTGTTGCGGCTGCTGGCCCGTAACCTGTGCCACAATTTGCAAAGCCGTCTGCGAAGATGATGTAGCCGCAGCTGTCGACGACAAACTGAGTACTGCCGGTGAAATATGCGGCTCAGTTAGACGACGTTTACTCTTAACTTTACGCAACATCCAAGCCTAGAGTTGTATGAAGAATTATATTTAATTTCAGTTAGCCTTCAATATATGTCCAATTTTTTTTTTTTAATTTAATAATCTTTTTTTATTTTGCTTTTTGTTGGTTTTTCTTTTTTGGGGGTGGGAAATTATAGAGAAACAGTGCTTTGTTCCTAATCCAAAGGACAATGTTATTTGAATTGTAATTAAAACGTGTAACACCTCATTTAAATTGCATACCTTAATACAAATTTTGCGATAGTATCTAATTTTTTATTCTTTTTTTATAGAATATAACTAGACACAATAATCCTGTATGGTTGTATATTATTAAATACATTTTCTAGATTTAGAATTATCCCGAGTTTAAGATTTAGATTAAATACTTATATCTCGAAGAGTATATAGTAAATGAAAAATGCCCACACTCTCTATAGCCAAAGCTGATAACAAAATATGATACTATAATTGTGAATACATAAAAGAAACATATTTGCCTTCGATACAAAAGTTAGTATTTTCCTACGGAGGTTAAGATTTAGAAAAAAACCAGTAAGGAAAAGTCAAAAGTCGGGCCTACACCACTATGCATATTTATTAGAGCTCCCACAACAAAAGAGCTTATTTGCAGTGATCATACCACCTATCAACATTTGACATTAGAGCAGTTATAGTTTGGGTTCAGAGGGAACAAATATATAGGAAGCATATCCAATTGATTTTCACTAAATTTGACGGAGACATTTTAATCTTTTATACCAAATAACATTGCTTTAGAATGCATGAGAAGGATTGTATTGAAAAATATATATTTGAGCCGAGTTCCTCAAAATGGAAACCTACGTCCCGAAATTCACTTCATTTGGTCTGATATTAGCCATTATTTACACAATAATCCTGAAATCGAGTTAAGGATATTTAGTATCTTTATCCAAATCTTAGCCGATCTCGATAAAATTTGGCAGAGGTATTTCCGAGCTCTATGAGATATCTGGTACCAATATTGTTGTCGAATGCATATTACGAATGTGAGAGACTTAAAGATCAAATCAGTTGAATTATATATATATATATATATATATATATATATATATATATAAATATATATAAATATATATATATATATATATATATATATATATATATATATATATATATATATATATATATATATATATATATATATATATATATATATATATATATATATATATATATATATGTACATATATATATATATATACACTGGTGGCCAAAACTAAAGCAACTGAAATTACAAGGAGAATGAATGCCCTGTAACTTTTTTAAAAATTAAAAAAATGAGAAAGTTTTTCTTGTTTTAAATTAGGTACCTTATTCACTTTTTACAACCTAAAACAAAGAACCAAAATTCATTCTTATATAAAAAATAATGTATGGTAAAGTCAATTACCCCGATTTTGGCTTGGACAAAACTAAAGCAACTCTGTTGTACATTCATATAACTGCTGCAATTTCAGTTCTTTTTACTGTGATATTTATCGCTTTTTGCTTCCTTCGACAATATCGCTTGTCATAAATCCTTTTTGAGAAGTTTTTTACAACAGCATGTGTTTTTCTTTTCGATTTTTAAGTACTTGCCAAAAAAAGTTTAAAAATGGCTAGAAGCAAATACAGTACATGAATAAAACAGCATATTATCAGTAACTATGAAAACAACATATCACAGAAAATGATTTCCGAGAAATATTTCTGGATCAGTAGTAACAGTCTATAACGGATGAAGGCCGTGAAAAACTTTAACCCGTACTGATCCACAAATTGTGAAAGAAATAAAAAAACAACCATTTAAGAGTTCAACTGGATTGGTGAGAGAGCAATCATTGGATATAAGCTCGAGATCAGTGCGTAGACGAGTAGTGGCAGCTGGTCTGCATGCCCGTAAGACATCAAAAAAGCCATTCATATCTGAAAAAATCAAAAAGGCTTTCGGAAACGACAATATTAAGTGGAATCAAGCTCATTCATCAATCAAAATCAAAAACATTATTTCTGAGATGAGTAAACCTTTAATATTAAAGACTCAGACGTGAAAAATTTTACGGTGAGAAGACCAAAAAATGAAGGATTCAACCCTCAGTGTTGCAAAGGTACAGTGAAGCATGAGGGATGGTCAAAAATGGCGTAGCGCTGTTTTTCTTTCCATGGACTTGGGCCTATCCATGAAATAAAGGAAGTTATGGATCGGTTTGTTTACAAAGATGTGTTGGACATCACGTTGTTCCCTTACACTGAGTAAAATATTCGGCTCATTTAGGTGTTTCTGCATGACAATGATCCCAAACTTGCATTAAAACATGTCAAATATTTGTTGCGGGAGTCAAAAATCGATGTTTTGTCATGGCCGGCACAATCACCTGACCTGAACTCCATAGAAAACCTATGGATTATCGTAGATAGGAAGATAAAGCGAGATTCGGAAACAAATAAGTTGTGCTTATTTTCTAAATAATTCGGAGTGCCTGGGAAGGCATACCCAAGGATCAAATTGAGCGTGTAATAGATTCAATGCCTCGTAGGTGTGCAGCTTCTATCAAAAATAATGGATGCTATCGACTATTGTCCAAAATTTAATTATTTTAAAATAAAAAATCAAAAAGTTGCTTTAGTTTTGACCAAGCAAAAATTGGGTCATTTTAGTTTTCCATATATTATTTTTCGTTCAAAATTATTTTTGTATTTTTATTTTTAGTTTCTTAAAAGTGAATTAAAGACCTCATTAAAACTGGAAAAATAGTTACGATTTGTTTATTTTTGTAAAAGTTACAGGACATTTATTGTCTTTGCGATTTTAGTTGCTTTAGTTTTGGCCACCAGTGTATATATATATATATATATATATACATCTGAACCGATTTTCTTCTAATTTGATGAAGTTGCTTTTAGACTGAATTCTGTCGGTTGCACCAAAATACAGGACTTTTTGACAGATATTAGCCATTTGGTGTACAATTAAGCCAACAATTAATTAGAATGGATTCGGTTGGATGTGCCAAAATTCAAGTAATTGGTCTAATATTGGTTATTTGGTGCACAATTAACCCGAAATCGGTTGAGGATATATATGGGAGCTATTTCCTAATCTGAAGCGATCTTGACCAAATTTGACTGTATCCGATATCTGGTACCAAAGATATACATACATACATACAAATTTCGCTTGTGAGGGACTTTAAACCCCAAATCGAATAAAACATATATATGGGAGCTAAAGCTATATCTGAACCAATATACACCAAATTTCAAGTACTGCTTCTTAGGATGAATGCAGCCGTAATTGCCAAAATTCCGTCCATTTGGGCTGATATTAGCCATTTGGTGCACAACAAACCTGATATATATGGACCTATATCCAAATCTGACCCGATCTCGATAAAATTTGATAGAGTTACAAACAAATACACAAAGACATAATACCCTTATCACTATGTGGTGTAGGGTATAACTAGACTGAAAAAGTGTTTTTTCCTGGGTGGTTAGTATTAGTTCTGCGCAGTCGAGTAATTTTGCCAGAGCCGAAGTCAATAAAAACCAGTAAAGAAAGTCTTAAAGTCGGGCAGAGCCGACTTTATGATACCCTACACCACTTTGCTAATTTAGTGGAGCTCCGCATAACAATTAAAAGTTTTTATGGGAGAATTCAACCATACACCCTATGATTATAATTATAATTTAAAGTTCTAAGGACTAAATATGCCGAAGCATTTGTATCTTTTAAATTCGGAATTGTGTTGCCCATTTGGTGCACAATTAATTTGAAATCGGACGAAGTTGTATATTTGAGCTATATCCAAATCTGAACCGATCTCGATAAAATTTAGCAAATGTATTTCTGAGCTGTATTTGATATATTTCCCTGAATATCGTTGGTACGGAGTGCATATTACGGTGTGGGTAACAAATATAACAAATCGGATGAACAATATATAGGAGCTATAGCTATATCTGAACCGATTTCGATCAAATTTGGCATACTTATAGTGGGCCTAATTTGGGTGTATATGCAAAATTCCATACAATTCGGGCTTATATTACACGTTTGGTGCACAATAAAAGGCAAATCGGAGGAAGATATATATGAGAGCTATATCTAAATTTGACCGATTATCTCCAATTTCAATAGGGTTCGTCCTTGGGCCAAACAAATGATCTGTGCAAAATTTCATCAGGATCGGGCAATAAATGCGACCTGTACTTTGTTTACAAAAATACATGGACAGACGGACGGACGGACAGACGGACGGACGGACAGACGGACTGACGGACGGACATGCATAAATCGACTCAGAATGTGATTCTATGCAGATCATCAAAAGGAACTATGGGTCTATCTCGTTTCCTTTTGCCTGTTACAAACAAATGCACAAAGACATAATACCCTGGCCACCTTGTGGTGTAGGGTATAAAAACCCCGTGTAGCGTAGTGTAATTCCACTGTATTTGCAACACAATGTTAAATTTAAAATAAATACAATTAAACAGTCAGAAAAACTCCTTTTAAGGTACTTTATTACGTTTTACTAAAACCTTGCTTACTTGTTTTAAGAGGTATAAAATATCTCTTTGAGAAATTTTCTGATAACGGGAGCAAATGTGGAATTATAGGTAGTCTAAAAAATCAAATCTGCTGGAAAATTTTCGAATTAGGCTGAATTCCAAATTTTTAACTGCAATTAATTTTTAATTGAATTTAGATTGTAATTCATGCTATTTTTCTTTTTTCGGAATCGGGGTCGTGAAAAATTGGCTGAAGTCTAACAATTACTGCAAAATTAAATGTGAAATCTATAACAATGAAATTCCAACTTTTATTTTTAAAATTTTGCACTGCAATTACTCGGATGTGCAAGGTCAAAGTTTTTTAATACTTTTATCTTCATTTTTATTAATTTATGGATATTTCATTATTAATTGAGTGAAATTCCAAATACTGCACATTAAGTTAGGTACTTAAGCTGAATTCTTTGCTCTATGACGAGTAGTTTACCTATATTGGACATATTCTACGGAGTGGAACTTGGTTCACCACATTACAGCTAATTTGATTGAAATATACATCTGAAATATTTAAAATGATTAAGGTCGGATGGTATGGTCATATACAAAATTATGGACCTTTATTAAAAGTATGGAATTATGCCCTTTAAACACCGAAATATGAACAGATATAGTGTGGACATAGCAAAATTCAAAATATATGTAACTTATGGGGTCTAAAGGGTAAATTTGAAGTGTTTAAAAAATCAGTATCATCTATTCTTTCTTTCCATTTTTGATTTTTTTTTTTTTTTTTTTGATTTCTAAAACATACTCCAATACGGTCCTATCATTAGATTTTAGAGGTGATTTTCTGATCAAGATGGAAGTATAAACATAACTACATTTTCGGACAGATGTCACTTTAAGGTGACAAAGTTTTGGGGAAATAACAAAAGTCTGAACACTCAATTATTGTAATATCGATTGAAATAACTTGTGATACCGAGTAGATATTTGACATTTTCCATCCTTGGTTATTGTGTCTAGTTATAATTCTATTGTTAATTTTTTTCTTAATTTCTTGTAGGTTTGTTTTTCTTTTTTAAGTCAAAAGGGGGGAAATATATATAAAACACATTAAATTACATCTTGGCAATTAAAACATACATCAATTTATACATCAATGTATTGCAAATTGTTGGTTTCATTTCTTTTTGCATTCTGTTTAAAATTGTTTGTTGATTCTGAAGTTTTTCATTGTTTGGCGAATATATAATTTTTTGATGTTTTTCAAATGTTTATGTTTTTGTTTTATATGATTAAAAAAACTAAAAAACATATTTGTAATAAAAACTAAATAAAATAGTTTATTCAAAAATAAAAAAACAATTTCAAATTTCGAAATAATAAAACAAAATATCTAAGCTTTAAAAAGGCAGTGTTATAATAATAATAATTGTTGCTTTCAATAGAAATCAATAAAATTAAATCAGTACAAAATTATATCAACAAAGCTAAAAAAATGTTTACGAAAATTAAAACTACCAATCTAAGAAAATATTACTTTTTTTGTTTTCAAACATGCTTTGGAAAAAAGACATGCAAAAAAATATATTTTTTTTTTATAAAAATTATAAAATAATTTAAAGGGAGCTCAAGTATAGTTAACTAGGATTTGCAAAAACGCAACAACATTTTTTTTTAAGAAATGACAGTTCTACTTACCCTTAGAGCAGATTTTAAAACCACAATATCACCGGAACACTGTACCCATGGTTCGCCATCAACTTGCACGGGTAAATCAGAATATAAATGCATTTTAATGTGACCACCCTGGGAGGAAAGGGAGATAGAGGTCATTAATTTTATTTTTTCTTATGATTTGAAAATAAAATAAATGCTTGGAGTATTTCTTATATATATATTAAGACAATATGTTTATTACAGGACTATTCGGAATGAATTTGAAGGGGAATTGGCTTAGATTTGACCAAATTGTTATAATGAGCAAAGTTTTAGACCAAATCGGAAATTCTTTTTAATTTTGTATGGAATTTTGTGATTTTTTTAATTTCAGCCTCTTGTTAAGGCCTTACTAGAAGAAAGGGGTCGATTTAGTACAACGTCAACATGAATGAAACTTTTATTTCTAAGATATTTATATTTTTCAAAACTTGAGGGACTTAAACACCAACTCTGATGAAACATATATATGGGAGCTATAGCTATATCTTAACAGATTTTTTCCAAATTTACAGGGTGAGATGAAAAAACTGCAACCAATTTCAGACTGCTGTCATTTCTAAGCCACTCGTCCGACAGCTGTTAAAATTATTCCAGTGACAGCTCATTATATTGTTTACAAGTGTACAAAAGCATTTTGAAAACAGCGGAAGAAAACAGCAACATCAGCAGAAATGGTTCGAAAAGTAAAGAAGCTACTTGATCGAAACCCGCGTCGCAGTGGCCGATGGTCGCTCTCCGCTCGTATTAATCGAACGTGGCATAAGAATAAATGCCGAATATTATCGCTAAAATTTTCTGGAAGGTGTTTTAAAGCCTTGGGGAGGCAAACATTTTGGCCTCAGACCTTGGACATTCCAATAGGACTCAGCAGCATCGCACTCAGCACGCGCCACCCAAGAATGGTCACAAAATGAATTTTCTGGAGGGTGTATTAAAGTGTTGGGAACGCAAAAATTTTGGCCTCAGACCTTGGACATTCCAATAGGACTCAGCACCATCGCACTCAGCACGCGGCACCCAAGAATGGTTACAAAATGAATGTTCTGGATGGTGTTTTAAAGCCTTGGGAACACAAACATTTTGGCCGCAGACCTTGGACATTCCAATAGGACTCAGCACCATAGCACTTAGCATGCGCCACCCAAGAATGGTTACAAAATGAATGTTCTGGAGGGTGTATCAAAGCCTTGGGCACACAAACATTTTGGCCGCAGACCTTGGACATTCCAACGGGACTCAGCACCGTCGCACTCAGCACGCGCCACTCAGAAATGGTTACAAAATGAAGTTCCTGGCTTCATTTCCAGCGCACGATGGCCCTCAAAATCTCCGGATACCAATCCATTGGAGTATTTTGGAAGGCAAGGCTGGCACTAAAAAATACAAAAGTTTCGATCACCTCAAACAAGCGCTTCGCCGGGAATGAACCAAAATACCGCAGAGCAACATTCGCAACATTATTCTAAAATGTGTGATGCTATTTCCGACATTTTTTGCTTTCATTCAATTAAATTTAAAAAAAAATGTAAAAATTATGGCGTTAGACTTTGTTGCAGTAATGTACTTGCTTATAGTCTGAATTCGACCGGATATGCTAAAATTCAGGTCATTTGGACTGATATTGGCCATTTGACGCACAATTAACCCCAAATAAAATTTTACAGAGGTATTTTCAAGCAGCATCTCATATCCGGTACCATATATCATTTTTGTGGAGTGCATATTACGCATGTGAGGAATGATTTTCTGGAAATTTTCCTTGTTTGCTTCTAGACTGAGTTTGGTGGGACGTATCAAAATGCAGGTCATTTGGACTTATTAACCCGAAATCGGTTGAAGATATATATATGGGAGCTATATCCAAATCTGATCCGATAATCACCAATTTCAATAGGGTTCGTCCTTGGGTCTAACAAATATTGTTTGGCAAATTTCATCTCAATCGGATAATAAATGCAATCTGCATTTTGTTCACAAAAATACATGGACGGACGGACTGACACACATAAATCGACTCAGAAAGTGATTCTATGAAGATCATCAAAAGTAACTATGAGTCTATTTCGCTTCCTTCTCCATGTTACAAACAAATGCACAAAGACATAATACCCTTAAAACTATGTGGTGTAGGCTATAAAAATCCACTACTTACCTGGGCAATACGATTCGCATATCGTATACCCGATTGTATTTGTCCCAAATGCACCACACCGGTGACGCCAACAATTTCCAATAGACCATCATAGTGGTTGGGTGTCGAGAAACGATCATCCTTGTCAGGACCCCATGGATTGGCACCACTGCCCCAACTGCAAGTAGGAAATAGAATTAAAATTTATCAAAAATATTAAAATATTTCCCCACTTTTTCCCACCAACTACCCACCTTAATATATTTAATATGATAATACCCTCACACGGTGGCAACTCAACAACTTTGCCATCAACTTCCAAATGCAATTCCTTTTGCAAATCCTTTGTACATTTGCGACCGCCCATCATTTTGCGTAGACCCATCTTAACGTAGACACCCTTGTTGTGAAGACGTGAATTGAACTTGAATGGATTCTCCATTCGGGCATTGTGAAAGTCCAGACACAAATCGGCATCCAAGCCAATGCCAAAATAATTATTCATAACAAATATTTGGGTATTGTCTTCGTTTTTGGTACCCTCGCATTCATCATCGGCGGCACCTGGGGGTTTTAGGAGTAAAATAGATATAGGCGTAAATTATATAGGTTCAATTTTTCATAGCACATATTTTTTAGTGAAAGAAATAAAGTTATGTTACAGAAAATCATAATAAAGAAAAGTGTTAGAAAAAGTATTATAAAACATATGAAAAGAAAATAGTGTGTATTTATATAAACGTTGATAATTTTAAAGAAACTAGCAAATATTATGGACTTAGAACAAAGTAAATTTTTATTTTAGTATTAGTATTTTAGTATTATTTAATTTAGGCACAGACAGTTCATGTAGAATGAGATCTCAAATTTGGTCGATTTAACCCCCGAGTGAAAAATATTCCTGACCGGGAGTGCTCCAAAAGTATGAATCATACAAAAAGTTTATTCTCTACTCTTTTCTTTTAAATGTTAGTGCTCTCGAGTCAGTCGAGAGAGTTTTTTTGAAGCAAATCGGTTGTTGGTAATATTAAACAGCATCTCTCGAAAGGTTTTCTGCACTCAAATAAAAAATTATCTCCAATATCTGGGATATATAATCATATAAATATATGAAATATAATCTCCGAAAAATTTACCTACATTGAAATTTATTGGGAAAAAGTATTTTACGGCCAGAGAACTGCTGTACCAAAAGGTGAAATTATTTTAATAATTTTTGTTGAAAAGAACTCAAAATGCCAAAATTTAGCAAAATAAAATGAAAAACATGGCCAAAACGTAAAAAATACTTGAAGTCGGAATTAACATTGCAATTGGGCTGTTCCAAAAAGTGAACCGATATAAGCCATTTTCTGGAGCAATGATTCTGGATGTAATTTAAAGATCTTTTTCAAATTTCAAATTGGTCCAAGCTATACATGGGCCTTAACAAAATTTGGCCTAAGAACCCAGAACTTATTTGGGTTATTGACCAAAAAGCCCACTTGGCGTTTTCCATAACCCAGACTGACCATTGTAGAGCGAAATTATAAGAAAATTTGCAGCAAATTTGAAAAAGTGTTATTTTTTCAGAAAAAACAAGGTTTTACATAATTTTGACTTTTGACGTCTTTAAGAATTTTTTATTTGAGTTTTTAACGATACTTAAAAAAAGGACCAAAAACTTGAATTATTTCTCGTACTTCCATCTGCAATACTTCCCAAAAAACTATACTACTAAAATGCTCGGATTCTGAAGGATCTTAATGCGATAGTTTCCAAAATATGGATTACCTTGCGATATAAAACTTCAAAACGTCGACACATGTGTCTTCGTTTATTAGCTCTACTTTCATAATTTGCTAGATTTTCCCCGTAATTATTGAAAAAACTAAATGTTGTAGCACAGTATTATATTCAGTGTTTAAATGTCTGTCATTTGATATACCGTCCCCATAGAGCATACGACTCAACACTTAATACTTAAATATCGAATTATTTCAACGGTTTCAGATATATTTTATATGTAATATACGGGGTGAGATGAAAAAACTGCAACCAACTTTAGACTTCTTTCATTTCTAAGCCACTCGTCCGACAGCTGTGACAGCTCATTATATTGTACAAAAGCATTTTGGTAAGAATTATCCAGAAAAAAAGTTATTCCTGATGGAGTTCATGCGTGATAGTGTGTCCAGCATTTAAATGTGAATAAATCTTTTGTGTCTCGTACCATAGCTCATTACCGTGATACTGGTAGAGTAGCCCGACGTCAAGGAAGCGGACGAAAGAAAACAGCAACGACTTGATCGGAGCCCGCGTCGCAATGGCCGAAAAATGGCTCGTTAGCTGAACATATCGCAATATTCCGTTCGACATATATTGAAAAATTAGCTCGGGCTAGAGCCATTGAAATCCCAAAAAGTGCAAGAACTTACACCGCAGCAGAAAGAAAATAGATTCAAAAGAGCTAAGAGCCGAATGTGGTGAACTGGCGAATTAGGTTTTCTCCGATAAGAAAACATTCGTAGTCCAGCAGTTTGTAAACAAAAAAATGATCGTGGTTACTTGCTAAAGAGGTCAGCTGGCCACCAGAACTCAAGCGCAGGCCATGGTAATGGTGTGGGCCACCATAACAGCGGATGGTCGCTCTCCGCTCGTATTAATCGATAATGCCACAGTATAAATGCCGAATAAATCAGAATAAATACCGAATATTATCGTGAAAATATTCTGGAGGGTGTATTAAAGCCTTGGTCACGCAAACATTTTGGGCTCAAACCTTGGTCATTCCAACAGGACTCAGCACCATTGCACACAGCACGCGCCACCCAAGAATGGTTACAAAATGAGGTTCCGAAATCTCCAGATACCAATTCGTTCGACTATTGTGTCTGTTGTTTTTTGGAAAGCAAGGTTGGCACTACCAAATACCAAAGTGTCGATCATCTCAAGCTAGCGCTTCGCCACCAAAATCTCCGGATACCAATCCGTTGGACTGGAGCGCTTCGCCGGGAATGGGCCAAAATACCGCAGAGCAACATTCGGGCAGCGTGTTACGGTTTCATTGGCCGTTTGAAGACCATAATTCGTGCCAGAGATGACCAATTCGAAAAAATCTAAACTAATTCTAAAATTTGATGCTATTTCCAAACTTGTTCTGCTTTCATTCAATAAAGTTAAAAAAATATGTATAAAAATTATGGCGTTTGACTTTGTTGCAGTTTTTTTTTATCTCACCCTGTATTACATTTTATATGTGTTAAATACGTTTTGTACTGGTGTGTATAAGACTTTTACAAAATGTACAACTTTCCAATAGCCAAAAATCCTAAAAATACTGATTCTGATCATGTAACATTAATTAAATATGTTATCTGGCATAATATTTGCTAATTCATATAATAATATATTATTAAGTTAAATAAAAAATGTTCATGCAATTTAAGAAATTATAAGTATATACACATACATACATACATGTAAAAATTTGCATCTATAATTCAAGCCAATCAACAACAATTTTTCTAGAATATAATTTGAAATCGGTTATAATTTTAGGTTTTCATACAACTTCAAGAAAAAACCTAAATACAGAATTTTAAACAAAAATTTAAAATTAGTTTTTAAATATTTCTATCGTAGTTTTTCATTATGGTATTAAAGTCGAGTAAGAAGTAAAAGAACTAGTTTTAAAATATTTGTTTTTTTTTTGGAAAACTAAACTATGTATGGCTTTGACACTGGAGTACAAAAGTATAGTTTGAAAAAATGTATTCCATAAAACGAATTTAATTTTGTCATTTAACCTCAATTTCTGTGTTTTCACACATTTGTGCGTCGTGGGAAAGGTATCAGAAAGAGTGGGCCGATAAATTCCATACTCATGTAAGATCTCTGGTTAGTAAAAGTATGATTTTATCTTTTATCCCAACAGAACTTGTTTTACGGTTCACAATGTTAAAACTTTATTTATTCTCAAATCGGTTATCCTGGAAATATCTTAAAAGTGAAGTTGCATTATATGAGGGATATATCGATTTTTTTAGGAATTGTATCATGTACTGAGATTGTGTTGATTTGGTTTAAAATTGGAGTTTTAACTCACACATATCGAGAAGCAGCAAGTGCTGTTTTATAGACCCTATAACAAAAAGTGGGCTTACATTGTATATTATTCTAGGAGTTAGATTTTTTTTGGCATAAGTGAAACCAATATATCGTTTTTCAGGTGATTTGTAGTGGAATTCTCTAACGCATTTTTAAGTTACCGACAAAAGTCGGTAAAATTAAAATGCTTATAATTTCGGTAATTAACTACATTTTTGGTAAGTTCTTCTTTTTTATATCAAAATTATGGGTTTCAAAATAACCGATTTTTGTCTGTAACTCAAAAAATGAGTTAGAGAATCCCACTGTTGGTTAGAAATTCGGATCATACCCTTCAAAATTCGAAAATTAGAAGGTATTGGGGATATATCTAAATGCGGGCCGATATAGCCCATACATCCGAGTAGTATTGCAAAAATCTATTCCAAATTTTATGTATTAATATTAAAAATTTTAATCTTTAACTTGATATGAATTCGAGAAACGAAATCGTTAATAACGGATCAATTTTTAATAAGTTAATAATTTCACAACTTTTTAACTTTAATATGGCCTAGGGTCAAACGATATGATAAAAATAATATGCTCTCCATCTTATGGTGGAGGGTATAAAAATTTTATTACCTCAACATAAGCTTTCTATTAAAATTCACAACAATCTTTACTTTAATATATGTATGTATGCAATGTATATGTATGTATGTATGTTACAAAAATTATGAACAGAAGGCATGCAAAATTGGTAAAAAAAATTGTAAAAAATTAAAACAGTTTTTTTTTTTAAGCAAAACATCTATGATCACATCAAAACTAGCACAGCATTTTTCATCCATTTAATTTCGGTTTTATTTTTTCTTTTTTTCTGGTTTTTTCATTGACCAATTACTCGTCATAGATTTTTTGTTATTACTCAAATTGTTGTTTTTTTTATGTTTGGTTAAGTTTACACAAAACAAATATGTCATTTACAACAAACAAGAAATTATTATACAGGATATTAAAACAGACGAAGAGAAGGGGGGTCTATGCAAATCACATCACATCATGGGGTACAATTGAGATATAGAATAATTTTTCGAAATTTATTTATTATTTTTCTCAATGTTTGTTATGTACACAGTGTGATGTATCCCCTTCACTGGATATTTGACACTTAGCAAGGCCTTCATATCTAGAATTTCAATTACAACAACATTTATCAGACACTTTTCAGAGGTTATTTTCAAGGTCATTAGTGTTCTAGATGATGCACACGCCTCTTTCTTTGTGAAACACACAAAACAAAGTTTTAATTTTGGTTTTTTTTAAGAAACACATTGAATTCATATCAAAATCCATATACACAAATTTAAAATGTAGTTGTAGTATTTGCAAAAAAAAATATGTACGAGTTTTGAATATTGTATTTGAAAAATTAATACAAAATCAAACGCAATTAACCAAAATATATTTTTTGAACTTGTACAAATTTTTTTTCTTTTTTGAATATTTGTTTTTGTTTTACGATTTTGAAAGAGTATGTAGAGTAGAAAATACATAGAGATATATATATAGAGTATATATACGAATATATATATATAGAGAGTGACAAAGAAATTTTGTGTAATCAAAAGACCTGATTTTTCACTCGATGTAATGGCCGGTTCTTGATGATGCTGATCTGTTTGTTGCGATAGATGTGCTTGATGAGCCTTCTTCTTCTTACCGGTAGTGTTCGTGGGAACCTTAAGTATCTGTTCCTCGGGCTTCTCTTCCGGATGAAAGACAACGGTCCAACGATCTAAGCGTATATCTTCAGCTTCGATAACTTCACGCAAATAGCTGAGAGGGTCTTGATCACCCGTATAACCAGAACCCCAGCACAGGACTCGGGCCAGGTCGTTGCCTAAATTTTGGGGTGGAATAGTTTTGTTTTCTCAATTATTTAAATGTTATTTGAGAGGGAGAATAACTTACCAGTTCCCAGCGGTAGAATGGCACAGGGTGGGCTGGAACATTCCGAATCTTGTCCGACATTATCCAAACACTGTAGAACCCAACCCACTGTACCATCGCCACCACAAACCAAGATCTTATAATGGGGTATGTGACGGAAAACGTACAATCTGTAAGAAATGACAAGTTATTAGTAATTTCTTGTAGGAATTATCACATATATGGGAATAGAAATTAGAAAATTGTCTGTGCAACTCCACCTCTTCATATAGCCCCCATTAATGGTACCTCCCGATATTCGGTATTTTTATGATTTTAGCGACGTTATTTACCGGAATTGTTTCAAATTTGGTATTTGAAGTTCGTAACGGATGCTACAGCCTATGACAGAAAAGCGTCTGTGCAACTCCACCTCTTCATATAGTCCCCATATGACGGTACCTCCCGATATTCGGTACTTTAATAATTTTTGCGACATTATTCACCGGAATTGTTTCAAATTTGTTATTTGTAGTTCGTTATGGTTACTACAGGCTATGTCAGAAAATTGTCAGTGCAAGTCCACGTCTTTGTATATCCCCTACATAACGGTATCTCCCCAATATTCCGTATTTTGATGATTTTAGCGACATTATTCACCGGAATTGTTTCAAAGTTGGTATTTGCATTTCGTAACGGATGATACAGCCTATGACAAAAATTTTCTCTGCAACTCCACCTCCTCTTATAGCCCCCATATAACGGTACCTCGCGATATTCGGTACTTTGATGATTGTAGCGACAATATTCACCTGTATTGTTTCAAATTTGGTATTTGAAGTTCGTAATGGTTACTACAACCTATGTCAGAAAATTGTCTGTGCAGGTCCACGTCTTCGTATAGCCCCAATATAACGGTACCTCCATATATTCCGAATTTTGATGATTTTAGTTACATTTTTCACCGAATTTTTTTATTCAAGTTTCACATTTGAATATTGTAATGGTTAATGACAAAAGTTGCCTATGCAGGTCGTCGTCTTATAGACCCTAATATAACGTCAACATTCGATATTTTTAAGATTTTAACAGAATTTTAACGGATTTTATTTTATTGAAAATTGCCAAAATCGTTACAAATGGTGGAGGGTATTCAAAGATCGGCCCGGCTGAACATACAGCTTCTTTATTTGTTTTTAAATACAAATGAACTGAGTTAAACTGATAACCCGTCAAATTTCACCTGATTTGTTTGGAAATTAAGGCGAATAACTTAAAAAAATCCGAAATCAAACATTTTATAATATTCATTACTACTTACCCTGGTAATGGACCACCATTCTCCAAATTGAATACTTGAAATGGATTAAGTAGTTTTCTAAAGTTCGATATCAACTCTAGACCCTGACAACCACCAGATTTGACATTTACAAATACCAATAAGGGATTTATGTCGGGTGGCACCATGCTGGGTTCAATATTTGGCAAAAGCATTACCAACAAGTCCTTGCCATCCCAACGTACTTCACGTAGTATGTAGAAAGCTCGCACCTAAAAGAGACCACAACGAAATAAGTAAAGAACAAAAAATAAGGTGGAAATTATTTCATTTCACATACCGCCTTCTGGGCATCTTCATAAGTTAGAACCACCGAACCATACTCATAATAGATTGGACCAATACTTGTAAATTTACTATCTTCCGTTAGATATTTATTGAGAAAATCTTCATATTTTCGCTGAGACTTGCCCGGATCGAGATTGCCCACAAACAGGGCAATATTCGGACCATGGGGATCTTGTCGGTGTTGCAAATAGAAACGCATCAATTCCATTTGACGTATCGAGTCCTTGCCCATTTGTTTCATAATATTCCATGGGCGTTCGTTCCAGGATAAAATGCGTTCGGTGACACCGCTATCTAATAATACTTGGGAACATCTAAAGGCAAAGATTTTCATTCAATTAAAAATAAAATAGGAGAGAATTTCGAAAAACGAAACCCACCTGTAATCATCGATTGGATTATCCTGTAAACCAAACCGATCTAGAGCATCACGTATCAAATCCTTAATAGTGGTCGTAGTATCGACAGGAACACTAACATATGGCTCCTCCAGTGAGCACTGCAATTTGCCAGGATAAACACGAACAAAACCATTGTCCTTGTCTTGAAACCGAAGAAATATAGCTGGTCGTTTACCCTCCATGTGATTTAAGCTTAATACAGGATTTGGATCTTGTAGGGCAGAATCTTCCATGCCAACGGGCGCATATAAATCGGTTAAATAAAATGCCTGAAATATAAAAAAATATTGGTATTTAATAAAAAAAAATTGTAAAATAACGACAGTTCGCCTATTTTAACGAGACACGAAGTTTTCATCGATACTAAGATATTTTCAATTAATCTGAGTATTGAAAGTATATTAATTGATTTTAACACAGCCAAAAAACAACGGACTAAATCTTATAAATCTTTAGTCGAACGAAAATTATAACTTCGAATCCGCTACTATCGATTCTCAAATAATACCCGAATAAACAATTATAAATGAATACACACTTTTCAGATCTAGTTCGAAAAATAAATAAAGGTATTTCGAAATATTTCAGTTGGAATTCCAGAATTTCTGATTCATTATGAGTGCAGGATAGATTCAGCTGTTGTAATAATTCAATCATATTTTAACATTGTAATCTAGAGAAGTGTTTTGGAAAATCGTACTAAAGATGGTACTACACTTCTAAAACGGTACCATTTGGTATTATGTGAACGGAAAGATTTGGTATGAAAATCGAGGTTAAAAAGTAAGTTTGATTTATAAATGTGATTTTGGAAATGTGTTTTACGAAAAGTACGAAATAGTACTATATTCGGTAAAATTTGGAACAGATTGAAACTTTATATTTGGGCCAATGTTCATGTGTAGCCTTGACATATGAATGTAGTTTTGGAAGTGTGTATTATAATTGTACGAAATGTACTAAATGGTACTGTGGTCTGGGTTGATATCTGAAATTGAGATATGGAGGTGCTTTTAGAAATGTGTAATCTAAATATACTAAATAGTACTTAATTTGGTATTGGGTGAAGCTATGGAGCTGAAGTATTATATCGATGTCACCGTTGCACAGTGGTCGAGGTCGTATGGGAACAGCGGCCAAAAATACTTTCAGTGCAGATATCAATATGATTCTTTGGTTATGGTACCTTGATGGGATAAAAATTAAAAATGTGACAAAATGGATATGGTCGATGCATGTTTTGGCATGGTCCTCTTACAACGTACCTCCCGAATAAGGGTTATTTGCCCAATTTTTGTCACATTTTACACTAGATTGTTCTGTTATTTGACATTTTACGTTCTAAAGAGCTAAAAAATAGTCTTTTTGAAAATTATATGGAACGGTCCGCCTTCAGGTAGAGTCCCGCTGTAAAGGTACCTTCAAGAATAGAAGTATTTTTTATACAAATCCCGGGTTGCCCATATTCGACGGACCTTTGGGCCCTTTGGGCCCTTTGGGCCCATTCCAATCGACGAGGCTTGTCCGCAGGCAACATTCTTTGCATCAACTGAATTTTGTACGGGAACAAATGCAAATCAATGCGAATAATCCGTTGTAAAGCCATGCCCAACTGCTGAGAACGGCGTTTTTGGGATGTTCTTGGGGACCTCTCAACACTGGCTCGTACCGTAGCGATATTCTCGGCCGATCGCCTTGGTCGACTTTTATATGGCCTCTTCGGATCAGAAAGAGCCTTACCAGTCGAAAATTTTTCGTATAAACGCTTAATGGTGTTCTTAGAAGGCGCACTTCTCACATTTTTTAAAGTTTTAAAAGCACGTTAAGTTTTCACAATTGACTCCTTCTGTTGAATGTAAATTTCAACTATTTCAGAGCGCTCGCGTGGCGTGTATTGGTTCATGGTAAAAATCTGCTTGGACTGACGCTTCAAACGCGGTATGTCATTAAGCGATGTGACATCTCTGTCAAAAGTTATGGCGTTGCCAGATGGGTCCGTCGAATATGGGCAACCCTGTATTAAATTTGTTTTAGCTGTGGGTGAAAGATAGTGCCATGGATATCTATTTGTTAACTCTTTAGCCGTTTTCAGTGCAAAGGCCTTAAATTTTTGGACATTAATATTATACCCAGAAGACAATGCAGGTAACATTATTGAACACCCCTCAATTATATCCTTATCAATCCCAAACAACAAAAACATGTTCTATGTCACTAGCACCATAGAACTGACAAAATTGGAGCGAAGTCTCTTCAATATATTGGGCATAACATACAAATCTGACAAAATCTGAAAGTTAAATTAGCACTTCTTGAATCTTAGGACCATTACTAATGGCGTGAAAAAAATCACATTGGGGGATTCAGAAAAAAAAACAATTAAAACTTTAACTGAAATCCAATTTTATTTTCAAAATTAATCTTAAAGGCAACTCAGAACACTCACATCGTCTATATTATACACAACTACCAAACACACAAATTACTGCACTAAAAATAAGTCAATACCTTGCTTTTCAAAAATTATGCAAAAAATTGTCATTTTAAAATGTATTTAATTTTGTAATACAGATCTATTTTTACTCTTTTTTTTTACTGATTCCACTGAAAAAGCAACTAACTACATTTTCTCTTTTTTGATGCTATTTTCGAAGTGTCCCGTTGCAATGAAGCCAAGATTATTATGTTTTCTAAAAAGCTTAACCTCTTAAGAGTTCATGTGTATAGATTTGACAATAAATATCTGATTTTCATTTTTTGAATTTTGGCCAATGGCAGCGACCACTGTGCGTTGGTGTCTGTTTGGGCAAGTACTAAGGTGTGCTATATTGGGTATTGTGTAAAGAGAATCATTAAATTTGATATTGAGGTCTCTGTTGCTATTTGGAATTGATATTTGGAGGTGGTTTTAGAAATGTGTACTATAATTGTACGAATAGTACTAAGTGGTACCAAATTATTTGAAGGGATATATCTAATTTTGGATCATTTAGGGTATCTAGAATGGAATGATGTAGATTGTTTTGAAAATGCGAGCTAAGTTTGATATTGAGTGAATGGATAGCGCTAAAATTCTTAAAATTTGATATTGAGGTCTCTGTTGCAGTTTGGGATTTAGATTTAGACATGGGTTTGGAAATGCATACTATAATTGTACGAAAAGTTTTAAATCCGGGATAGAGCTGAAACTATGGAATTTTATATTCGTGTCTAGAATTGAGATATGGAACAATTTTAGAAATGAGTACTAAAATTTTACGAAGAATACTAAATCTGATATTGAGCTGGAAACCCGATATTTGATATTGTGGTCCCTTTTCATATCTGGTAGTATTGCAAATGAGTACTACAATTGTTCAAAAAAGTACTAAATGGTATATATTTTGGATCACTGTCGGTGTCTAGGATGGGTTTACATATGGAGACTCTGAAATATTGTTGGGCAGAAAAAAATGATGTGGGTCCATTGTGCAATGTTTTTATTAAAATCCTCCTGGGTAAGATTCAAAGTGAAAGATTTTGAAGACTTGTCGGTTTAAAAGGTAAACATTTTTCAATTAGTCTTTTCGAAAAAGGAAAAACTTGCAAGAATCTACTAGTTTTGCAATTTTGTTCATTCCCTCATATTACATATATCCCTTTTATATATACAAATCAGAAATGGAAATCTGATTTCCATACATATAAAATTTTAAACGGAAAATGCAGAGCTGGATATACTTAATCGATCTTAACGTAAAAATTAATCCACATAAACTTACACTGGGATCACGTGATATATGAAATGCTCGCAATGCTGTTGTTAACAATTGTTCCAAGGTATATGTACGAGGTACCGTTATGACGCGATATAGCTGGCGTCTAAATGAATTGTTGCCATCAAAGACCTTGATGGCTTCTGCAAATGAAAAAACGCAAAACAAGAATTTCAATATTTAAAATAATTCAAAAAAAAAAAAAAACAATGCTCTTACCAATATCTTTTTCTTCACGTTCTCTTTCCTTTTTCTCCTTCTCCTTGTCCGATTTATCAGATTTATGGCCCGATGCCGATTCGGGCCGATAATGTGAAGATGAACCACCACTGCTGCAACCAGCTGCACTACCGCCCGCCACCACAGACATTGCCTCGTTCTTATCCACCGACTCTTCATCTTTGAAGCGTGGAGCATCACCGCTACTGAATTCTTCCGATATACTACGAGCTGTGCGTTAGTAATAGGAAAAGATATAATAGTTTTAGAAAATTTAGATAATTCAAGAAAAAATATATATTTTTAGAACATACAAATATATTAAAAATAATTCTTTTTGTTTCTATTTATTAAATATTGTAATATGTAATGTTATAGAATATCCAATTGGGTTAGCATAAAAATCATTCAATCGTTAAGTTTTGTTAATAACTACATAATTCCAGTTAGTAGAATTGATACAAATTTTATTTTAAAGGTTATTGATTATTTTTTACCCTCCACCTTGGAAAGGATTGCATATTAAATTTGTCATTATGTTTGTAGCTTCCCTAAATATTCATCGTGGTACCCATAAAGTATATACATTCATAATCAGCATAAAATTCTAAGTTGATTTACAGCTCACATTAATTGACAGAACAATTTGTATTGTGTCTAGGATGGTTGGTATTGAAAATTAGATATATCGGTCCACGTTTTGGTACAGTCGCCATAAAACGGTATCGCCCGATATTCGGCATTTTGATTAATTTCGACACATTTTTCCACGGATTTGTCTAAAAATTGGCATTTGTATGGTATAATTGTTTGTATGGTATAATTGGGTTTAAGCTCGTGTGGTGAAACATTGAAGGTATAGATCCACGTTTTGGTATATGTAGGTCATAATGGGTTCTAGTTTCACAGGCAGAACATTGCATGTATGGGTACCTCCCAATATTCGATATTTTGATGACTGTTGCCATATTTTTCCCCGGAGTTGTCTAAAAATTGATATTTGTATGGTATAATGGGTTCTAGCTCGTGCGGCGAAACATTGAAGGTATAGGTCCACGTTTAGGTATAGATTCCATTCAACGGTACCTCCCAATATTCGATATATTGATTATTTTTGCTACATTTTTTCACGGATTTGTCTAAAAATTGGTATTTGTAGGTTATGATGGGTTCTAACTCCGGTGGCGAAAGATTATATGCATATGTCCACGTTTTTATATATCCCCATATAATGGTACTCCCAGATATTGGGTATTTTGATGCTTTTTGCAACATTTTCCCACGAATTTGTCTAAAAATTAGTATTTGTGGATCATAATGGGTTCTAGCTCATGTGGCGAAACATTGTATGTATAGGTCCACGTTTTTGTATAGCCCCATATAATGGTACCTCCCGATTTTCGATATTTTGATGACTTTTGCCACATTTTCCCAAGATTTTTTACTAAACTAGAGTTATTCCCGAATGGACGAAGTCTGTTTCAGGGCATTTTGAGCTAATTTTGATTTTTGCCATATTTTTCACGGATTTGTCTAAAAATTGGTATTTGTAGGTCATAATAGATTCTTGCTTCGGCGGCAGAACATTGAGTCACATATTGCCACGAAATTGTTTCAAATTTGAACTCAGAATCACAAAAGATAACAATTTTTGTAGTATAAAGTTGTCCATATAGGTACCCATTTTGGCATGGCCCCCATAAAACGGACTCACTCATATTATGGTTTTTTGAAAAATTTGACTGCATTATCCAAACGGCCTCACTGGTATTTGTAGTTTGAAGTGAATTCAAGATACTTTTATATAAAAATGTTTTATTTACCTAATGGTGAGACTTCGGCCCGGCCGAATTTAGTTTTTCTACTTGTTTTGAAATTTACCTCAGTATCATCAGCCCGCATATTCCAATTATTAACATTGCAATTAGTGTAGTTGGATATTGGAAATAATCTCGCTTTTTATGAAAATTGATGACTAAAAAGTTAACTCTTTGAGCGAGACGTACTAGAAGAAGCGGACCAATACATATCATCTTCATGCGAGATATGTTCTATACCGAATATAATATAATATAATATAATATAATATAATATAACTAGCTGAACCCGGTGCGCTTCGCTACCCCTTTTGATTTTATATGCATTCAAAATTTTATTTACGAATATATGTTGGATAAAGAAAACAAATTTAAAAATTAAAAAAAAAATATTGCACTAATTTAATGCGTTAATAAACAAAATCACTACAAAAGCAGTAACATGACATGCATACATTTGTCCTTTGGATTTATTTGTCCTTTGGATTTATTTATTTCATAGCAAATACCAAGCGTGCAGGAAACTGCATTTTTTTAAGTAGAGTGTCATTTCTATTGCAGTTAGTGAATTCGAGATAGCAACATACTTCGCCGTAATAAGCGTATTTCAAATAAATTGTTGTGTTGTTTTTTAGTGTTAGCCTAAGGCGTTTTGGGTCAATGGTTCTTATTAAAATCATATCCCAATCTGATCCGATTTAAATATAATTTTAAAAAAATTACTTTTACACCAAACTCCGCCACACCTTTCATATTTCATTGAAATTGGTGCGTCAAATATGTGAAATCGGCCGAGAATATATATATGGGAGCTATATCCAAACCTAACTAATTTCCAATTAATTTATCACATTTATTATTATAACCAAATTCCGCCACACATTCTGAATTTCATTGGAATCGGTCATATATCGTGTTTGGTGCATAATATGTATGAAATCGGCCGAAATATATATGTTAGCTATATTCAAACCTCAACTGATTTCAATATAATTTGGCAATTTTGCTGGTGCCAGATTTTGTCTCTCTCGCTTTGGGTGCATCAAATATGTGAAATCGGCTGAGTATATATATGGGAGCTATAATCACATCTGAGCGTATTTGAATATAATTTGTCAAATTTATTTTTGTATTTTGTTGGAATCGGAAATACGTATCGTGTTTTGTGCATCAAATATGTGAAATCGGCGGAAAAATATATATATGGGAGCTATATTCAAATCTGAACCGATTTTAATATAATTTGACTAATTTATTTTCTAATCAAAATCCCGTTACATATTCCAAATTTCTTTGGAATCGAACATACATATCATGTATGGTGCATAAAATACATGAAATCGGTCGAAAATATATATGAGAGCTATATCCAAATCTGAATCGATTTTAATATAATTTGACAAATGTATATTTGTTTTAATTTCCGCTACACATTCCAAATTTCATTGAAATTAGAGATTCATAGCGTGTTTGGTGCATCAAATACATGAAATCGGTCGAAAATATATATGGGAGCTATATCCAAATCTGAACCGATTTCAATTTAATTTGACAAATTTATTTTGGCTCCCAATTCCGTTACTTATTTTAAATTTCATTACAATTGGAAATACATGTCGTGTTTGGTCCACCAAATACATGAAATCGGCCGAAAATGTATATGGGAGCTATATCCAAATCTGAACCGATTTCAATATAATTTGGAAAATCAATTTTTTAGATAAAATCTATCACACGTTTCAAATTTCATTGAAATTGGGGATACATAGCGTGTTTGGTGCATCAAATGCTTGAAATCGGCCGAAAATATATATGGGAACTATATCCAAATCTGAACCGATTTCAATATAATTTGGCAAACTTATTTTTGTTCCAAATTCCGTTACGTATTCCAAATTTGGAGACTGTATCTTCAACCAATCAATAGATATGTGCATATAAAATCTAAATTTTTGGGAGGTACCTCCGGTTCTGATGCTATATCTCCAGTTCCAAGTGGAAATTCAAAAATGTATATAGCCTATGTTACTTTCAGGTGATGTTGCAGTATATATGGAAATTTTCAGGAAAATCTATTCAGCGGTTTTCGAGTCCATAAATTACAAACAAACAAACAAACAAACAAACAAACATACAAACATTTTCCTCTTTTATAGATATAGATATAATATAATATAATATAATATAATATAATATAATATATATATAATATAATATAATATAATATAATATAATATAATAGAATATAATATAATATATATAATATATATATAATATAATATAATATATATAATATAATATAATATAATATAATATAATATATATAATATAATATAATATATAATATAATATAATATATATAATATAATAAATATATATAATATAATATAATATAATATAATATAATATAATATAATATAAATATATAATATAATATAATATAATATAATATAATATAATATAATATAATAAATATAATATAATTATAATATAATATAATATAATATAAATATATATATATAATATAATTAATATATATAATATAATATAATATAATATAATATAATATAATATAATATAATATAATATAATATAATATAATATAATATAATATAATATAATATATATAATATATATAATATAATATAATATAATATAATATAATATAATATAATATAATATAATATAATATAATATAATATAATATAATATAATATAATATAATATAATATAATATAATATAATATAATATAATATAATATAATATAATATAATATAATATAATATAATATAATATAATATATATAATATAATATAATATAATATAATATAATATAATATAATATAATATAATATAATATAATATAATATAATATATATAATATAATAATATAATATAATATAATATAATATAATATAATATATATAATATAATATAATATAATATATATAATATAATATAATATAATATAATATAATATATATAATATAATATAATATAATATAATATATATAATATAATATAATATATATAATATAATATAATATAATATAATATAATATAATATAATATAATATAATATAATATAATATAATATAATATAATATAATATAATAATATAATATAATATAATATAATATAATATAATATAGGTTACCTAATAAATATTACTTTTTACGAATATTTTTCCTGAAATATTGTCTTCATCGATATCTAGTATTATCTATTTCTGGATTTTTCTCTACATACGATTAAAAATAATTCATATATTGGTAATATCCCACATATGATACCGAGTTATTTGCATGCTTTTGAAATAGTTTTAATTTTTTTTTTTTTTGCATATTAGTCTAAATACCTAATAAACATTGGAATCATGCTTCCGTTATTATACAAGTATTTAATTACATTCAACACACTTGATTTTTTGTTAGTTTGGAGTTTTAGACATGAATGATAGTTGTTTGATTGTTAGTAAGGACTGATTGTGAGAAAAACAGAGGACGATATGAATTTGTGTTAAGTTTACGAAGTGTTTGCTGCGTAATGAACAAAAAAACGTCTGAGTATACGGTGAGTGCCAAAACATGGTTATCGACAATGAATGATTATTAGCTGATTATTAATTTTGTTTAACAAAATAAAAAAAACAAAACAGAACAAACTAAATAAAAAAGGTTCAACAAATGGGTAGGAACAAAACAAAAATTGTCTAACAAAACATTTCAGGGACAAAATACAAGAAAACAAATGCGGTTAATTGAAAAATAAAAACAATACGAAAATTTTGATTTTTATTTACTTTACTATACAAAACGTAAAAAACGAAACAAAATTATAAATATTACAATTTTTAATAAAAATCATAGGGAGAAGAAAATCAAATCACCTCTACGTTTGTGATAACGTGGCTTGCGCCAACCCATCGAAAAGCGGCGCATGCGCTTCAATAGCTTGCCAAAGACATGTTCATTATCACTCAGCCTAGAACGGCTGCGGCTGCTGGCACCATCACTGATATCACCGCCACCACCATCATCACTGTGTATACCACCACCAGCACTGTCATACATGGCCGAGTGGTGGTGATAGGGCCTTAGCCGGCTGCCCAGTAGCTGTGAATACTCTTTGAGAATTTCCTCATCATCGTCCTCGTCGGCATCGCCCAAATGGTCATCACTGCGATGACGATCGCAGGTGTCATAATTATCATCATATGGCTGATAGTTGCCATCCTCATCCTGAATGGTAATTTCAATATTCTGATACATGGTATCAAGACTATAATTGCTGTGGATATTTTTGCCCTCCACTTTTGCCCCACCGCCCGAGGCATTGGAGCGTTTCGAACGTCGCCTTTGAAAGAAGCGAGCATATTTCTTGTATCTACCTCCAGGACTTTGGGCATGCAGTTTGACCCCGGGTTCCTGAAATGATTTGCTACGACCCACCGGCGACAAGGGATGGGGCGCTGTGGCCGGATGCGGTGGAATTGGTGAGGCTGGGGAACAATCGCTGGAATTCGGGGAACTCAATGCCGGATGACGATGACCTCTACTCGGAGCCGGTATCGGCTTGGCTGCAGTCTTTTGTTTCGTACTCTCAAACGCACCTAAGGCAGTGTTGGCTGAACCGCGCTTGGGCCGGCTCGGGGTACCCGGCGTGAAACCCATTGCCGCGGACAGCTGGAGATTGTGCGCATTTCTATGTCTATTTAAACTAATACGTTTCTCTATGGATGTGTTACTATTACTACTATTACAACTTAAATTGCTAAGCAGATTCATGCTTGAATCAATATCAATGTCATCGGTATTGGTCAGTTCACCGCCCGTATCGGAGGTTTCATAGAAACCTTCGTGATGGGTGGATTCGCCTTCTATATCGCCATGATATTCAATATCACTGCCCGTACCAGTACCGGGTGTTAGTTGCTGGCCACCACGGCCGCTGCTCTCATCGCTTAATACTTCGGCTGTTTTCGTTTCGATGCCACGCCGATGGGACTTGGAGGGATCCTCCGAATCCCCAACATCACAATGGTCGTAATCGTCACTAATATCACCGCCACTGACATCACATACGCCACCATCGACTTCATCATCATCGGTATTCGAGGAGAGATGCTTCCGGCCACTGCCACCACCACCTCCGGTGTATGGTATCTTATTGACTATGTTCGTATAAAATAAATGCAATGACGATGAGCTCGAAGGCGACTTTTGAATATTCTTTTGGCACTTTTTACGATTACCGGCCTTGGGAGTGTCTCGTTTACTGGCCGCCACCACCACCTCCAATGAATCTTTGATTTTTGTTTGATTTATTTGCTCTTCCACCACCTGGTCAGCGCTGGCTTCATTATCACCCGTCTTTGTATTTTCCGCATTATCATCAATGCCAATATCTTCTTCATTTATCCCCGTGGCTACTGCAATCTGTGTTGCTGTCGACGTTTCATCAGCTATCATTGGCGGTATCGGTGAGGGGGCATACGACGATGAGGGTGAAGAGGAAAGAAAAAAATTTTGTTTTGATTCTTCTAAACGCTGTCTTTGCAATAGTAAAAGCTCTTTTAAGGTTAAAGAAGGTGAAGCATTGCCATTATTACAACTCATAACTGAGGTTGCAGCAACATTTCCAACTGCCGTCATGGAAGTGGTCGTAGCTGTAGCAGCTAAAATTTCAGCACACTCAACATCGTCGTTATTAAAACCTTCTAGGCGCGAGAGGTAAACAATGCATTTACATATTTTGGTGGGGGATGAATTACAAGAAGACAGGATGTTTTTTGTTTGTTTTCGGAAAGCAAAATAATACAAAATAAAAATAGAAATTGTAAAACCAAAAAATTGGTATTTGTAACAAATGAAGTTATAAATAGGCATAAAATTAATAAAATAAGTAATGTATAAGAAATGACTTAATATCGAAAAAATTTTACAAAACAATAAAACTATTTTTGAATGCAGATCGGAAGTACAAACTTCATATGTTCTTCATTATGCTATAATAAAGATATTTCATATTTATATAAATATCTTCAAAGGAAGAATAAAATACCATTAAAGTCAGTCCAGAGCTGCCATTTAAAGCAAGTCATCAAAGCCTATAGACGGGAAGAGTAGATAATGGGATAACAAACAGGTGAACAATACATAAAATTTTAACAACATGAAAGAATACTTATACAGGGTGAGATGAAAAAACTGCAACCTACTCCAGACTGCTGTCATTTCTAAGCCACTCGTCCGAAAGCTGTTAAAATTATTCCAATGACAGCTCATTATATTGTTTACAAGCGTAGAAAATAATTTTGGTGAGAATTGTCCAGAAAAAAAGTTATTCGTGATGGAATTTATATTTGGCTGGAAAACAACAAGTGGCTATAGTTAGGACACTCCAGCATTTAAATGTGAATAAATCTTTTGTGTTTCGTACCATCGCTCGTTACCGTGATACAGGTAGCGTAGCCTGACGTCAAGAAAGTGGACCGAAGAAAACAACATCAGCAGAAATGCTTCGAAATGTAAAGAAGCGACTTAATCGAAACCCGCGTCGCAATGGCCGAAAAAGGGCTCGTAAGCTGTACAGATCGCAATATTCCATTCGGCATATATTGAAAAAAAGATCACGGGGTAAAGTCATTGAAATTCCAAAAAGTGCAAAAACTTACACCGCAGCAGAAAGAAAATAGGCTTAAAAGAGCTAAAAAGTGGCTTCGCTTGACCGAAAGTGGTGAACGGCCGAATTTGGTTTTTTACGATGAGAAAACATTCGTTGCTCAGCAGTTACAAACTGCAAACAAAATTATTGTGTTTACTTGCCAAAGAGGTCAGCTGATAATGTGCACCTTCCGTTAGCCACCAGAACTCAAGCGCCGGCCATGGTGATGGTGTGGGCCGCCATAACAGCCGATGTTCGCTCTCCGCTCGTATTAATCAACCGTGGCATTAGAATAGATGCGGAATATTATCACGAAAATATTCTGGAGGGTGTATTTTAGCCGCAGACCTTGGACATTCCAACAGGACTCAGCACCATAACACTCAGCACGCGCTACCCAAGAATGGTTACAAAATGAGGTTTATCGCTTCATTTCCAACGCACAATGACCACCAAAATCTCCGGATACCAATCCGTTGGATTTTTGTGTCTGAAGTATTGTGGAAAGCAAGGTTGGCACTAACAAATACGAAAGTGTCGCCGGGAATGGGTCAAAATACCACAGAGCAATATTCGGGCAGCGTGTGACGGTTTCATTGGCCGTTTTAAGGCCATAATTCGTGCCAAAGGTGACCAATTCGAACAAATCTAAACTTATTCTAAAATTTGATGCTATTTCCGACATTTTTTGCTTTCATTCAATAAAATTTAAAAAAAATGTAAAAATTATGGCGTTTGACTTTGTTGCAGTTTTTTTTTATCTCACCCTGTATATTGGAGCAGCAGGAAGCAATGTAGTCCGCTATACTCATTTATCCGGTTTAAGCCTAAATAATTGGGGACATTCCGCCCCCTCTCTCTGTATCCGTTGTATCTCACCGAGACCTATCTATAATAAATACGGTTATGACAGACCACGCAAATGACCATGGGCCGGTTCAATTCCAGCCAAGAGTATACGGAGCAAACATTCCTAGTAATGTTGCTTCCAACTCAAAAAAATGGTCCACGGAATGTTCCTCCGAGCCTTCCCGACACATCTAATCATCGCATCGGTAGACTTTTTCAAGATTACTCTCTATTCCTAACTCTCCAACCTCTGCTAACATGTTTGATTTTCGTTCGGCTGCAGTTGTATTACCGTCTCCGAAAATACTTCCTGCTACCCAAGCTTCAAAGAGAGCAGTTTTCTGAAGTGTCAATTATTGAACCCTGTGAATTAAGGTCAATTAGTTTTCCCATGTTTAAGGAATGTGATGCACATTTTTATAAAATTGTGGAATACTGGCTGGCAATTATGTGGAAATGCAGTACAAAACAGCCTATTTTGATTGATTTTTAAATTTAGAGGATATTTCCCACACAAGTGAATATGTTATAATATGAAAATCATACTCTTGGTTTTTAAGCATATTTTCGAGATAGTGAGGAAATCTAATTGTATATTTTTCAAAATTTCCTGATACTCTTTTTCGGAAGTAATGTAATATATTGCAGTTATAATTTGTAATATTTCATGTATATTACGAGAATTCCATACGACACATTTCAATTGTAATTCGAATATTTCATTTATAATTAGTTTCATTTTATTTGAAATTCTAATTATTTAATGTAACGTATAAGCAAGTCACATTGTCCTTCTCATTGTTATACGTTTTTGCGATTTAAGACAAGGTTTTTCTTTTTCAAAATTTCAGATCTGAAAATAACATAGGATCTGCATTCAAAAAGGCGTGTTCATAAAAAATCAGAATAAAACATAAAATTTAGAAATCTTTCCTTAAAACAAAATATTTTTTGAAATAAAAATATTATAAAATAATGTAAAATAAAATTACATAAAGCAAAATAAATTTTGGAATATTTTGCTGCATATGATGTACTATGGAGGTAAAATGTGCTTTTTTTTGGTAATGGTTCATTATTATTTTTTGTCGGTGAATTTCGAATGAGTGAGAGTTTGTGTGAATGTGTGGACTATGAAAGTGTAAGCCTTTTCGAATTTCAAATAATGTTGTTGTTGTTGTTGATGACGTTAATTTTGGTGGAAAATATTGCAAATGATTGTTTTCGTGGAAAAGTGTGAAAATGGGGAAATGCAATGAAAAGTGATATGATGAAATTTAAATGGAAAATTTTCAAAAATAATGTTTCAATTTTGAAATTTGGTGTATGAAATTCTGGTTCCAGGGGTTGTGGGAAAATAGTACAACAACGAAAACACATATAAATACACATACGCACATTCACACACGCACAGATGTACATACAACAGCAACAACAAAAAAGAGACATAGCGCACAACTACTTGTCAAGCTGTCACTTCAATCAATATTGATTGAATGAATTGAGGAAATGTTGTGGATATGTCAATTTTAGGTGTCAACGATGATGGATGAATTTAAATGGAAATTTGTTTTTTTTTTTTTTTTTTGGGGGGGGAGGTGATTCGTTAACTATGTATGGGAGAAGGATTTCATGAATGAAATGAGAGAAAAAAAGTTAAATGCAAGTTCTAGCATTTTTTTTTTTCAATTTTGCACCATATAAATTATTACAACATCATATGTATGCTTTTTTCGTTCTTTTTTTTATTTTTTGTTTTGTTTGCTGAGGCGTTGTTTTTTTTTTTTTTTTTTGTGAAAAAGTTTTTCTGTACTTACGGCATGAATAGTCGCGAACTAAATTCGATTCGGATTCGGTTTTTCGAACACCCATTATTTCTTTAATTGGCACCTCGGTACGTGGTATTGAAACACAATGCGGAGGTAAATATATCGGTTGTAAACAACCGAATGTACATTCGGTTGGCAGGTACATGCGACATCCAGCGTGTGTGACCAGACCACACCATTCGCAGCGATAGCCTGAAAAGAAATAAAATATTAGAGACGATAAAAAAAATAGTCGATTTTCGGTCGAGCAGCACTTGTCGTGATATTTTCATGGACATCGGAAAAATCTTGATATTAAGTTTCAGGTTTCAGATTTCTTTTATTCAGAGACCTAGAATGACATTTGATTTTTTCATTTTTTAGTTCCGACGCTTTCCTCAAAAAAAAAACTCAGTTTGTTGGGAGATTTTGACTCAGTTTTAAAACATTTTAAGTTTATGTTCAAAAAATTTAAACAAATAATTTTTAAAAATGATAAAACTTTTTTCGATTTTGTGGCAAGAAATGGCTTTGTCATTCCTCGAAATATACATTATAGACCCCACAAAGTATATATATTCTTGATCAGCATATAATTCTATGTCGATTTAGCAAAGTCTGTCCGTCTGTGGAAATCACTCTAGCTTCCAAACGAAATGAAGTAAGTTGATAAAAAATTTACTCAAATGTGTATTATGTCTGCAGGACTTTTGGTATTGAAAATGGGCCATCGTATAGGCTCGTATAGCCTACATATAACGGTACCCCCCGATATTCAGAATTTTGATGATTTTAGCTACATTATTTACCGGAATTGTTTCCAAATTGGTATTTGAGGTTCGTAATGCACACTACAACCTACGACAGGAAATGAGCCATGTAGGTCCACGTCTTAGTATAGCCCCCAACGGTACCTCCCGATATTGGGTATTAAGGTGATTTTAGAGGCATTATTTACCGGAACTATTTCAAATTTGGTATATGAAGTTCGTAATAAAAACTGCAGCCTATGACAGAAAATTGTCTGTGCAGGTCCACGTCTTCGTATAGGCCCCATATAACGGTACATCCCCCCTCGATATTCAGTATTTTGCTGTCTTTATCGACATTATTTACCGGAACTATTTCAAATTTTGTAATTGAAGTTCGTAATGAGTACTACAGCCTATGACAAAAAATTGTCTGTGCAGGGCCACGTCTTCGTATAGCCCCCATATAACGCCCCCCCACTATATGGGGTTTTTTGATGATTATAGCTACATTAAAAAAAAAAATTCCAAGTTTCGCATTTGAATATTTTAAAAGCTTATGAGTATATATATAATCAATTTTAGTTTAAAAGTCAAAATCTAAAATCGATTTTTTACTGATGGGACAAAATCAGAAGATCGAAAACTTGATTTTTTCTACGTATCCCTAGATTGAATGTGTGAACACCAATCTTACATAGAATTCCGAATAAATAGAAAGAGAAATAATAGATTTTAACCATTCTAAAATTACAGACCACCACAATCTTGTCGTGGGGTAATATGGTTGAGGAAAATTTCCAGCAATTTTTCAACGACTACATATTCTTCTACATGGGCTGCGGAGAAGAGATTGCAAATAAATCTACAGATGGATAGACCTACTTACAGCATCTTTGTGTCGTCAGCATAAGACACTTCTATCTTCGATAAATTTAAAACCGGGAACCAATATGTCCAATTTTAACTATATCTATGTTGAGAAATATGCTGTTTGAAGAAAAACGCTCACTGGGTTCACATATGTTGAAACTAGTTATAACCCTAACATATGCGAACCTAGTGAGCAAAAAGAAAGAAATGGTTCCTTATATCCTATTCTCATACCGGATATACAGTTGTTTTTGCCATTTGTCAAATTTGAAGACAATTGGACTCTTATTTCAGGTTTTTTATTATTTTTCAGAATTGTAACCCTTAGGGAGGAGGTACTAGAAGGAGAAGTTGAACAAAATCAAACGAACCTTTCTCTTTCTGCGAGGTCAATTATTTGGTTTAATCTTTTTTATTTTTTGTGAGGGAGGTACCAGAAGGAGTCAAGTTTGATTATACGATTACGATGTACCAAGCTTGAACCAAGTCGAACATATACCTTAAGGGCTATTGTAAACCCAAGTCAGAGAGACAGACGCACATCATTAGAACGACTTCTACTATTCTGAAACGGATTTTCTCCGAAGGGTTATGGGGTCTGTATGGTCATGGTGACCATAACAATATGGCTATAGCTACCATATTGCTATGGTCACCGACAATGTCAATGATCAATTTTTAATTATTACCTAAACAGTCAGCTTAAAAAATAAATTTTTGGGCCTCCCCAAAATGGTCTAGAAAGATATCTGGCTACGTCGGTGGCTAAATGTGCTCTTATCGGACGTTGATGCCTTTAATTTGGTGGATAAATAGCAGACTTTTCAGTTTTGGCCCCCAAAGAGTTAATAACTTTAAATTTAGCACTTTATGTTCACTGAGAGTACAAGAGACGGCATTAGCCTCAGTTTGTCGTAGCGTGTGAGGATTTGCAAGTCATTGTATTAATATTTGCGACTTTTTAAAATGTTAAAAATTTGTGAGAATGTGGTAAATATTCCCATTCTTATACCCTACACCACATAGTGGTAAGGGTATTATGCCTTTGTAACATGGAGAAGGAAGCGAGATAGACTAATATTTACTTTTGAGAATCTTCATAAAATCACATTCTGAACCGATTTAGCATGTCAGTCCGCCTGTCCGTCCGTATGTCCACGTATTCTTGTATTTTGCATTTATTATCCGATTGAGATGAAAATTTCCAAGCAATATTGGTTTGACCCAAGGATTAATCCTATTGATTTTTTTTGATAATCGGATCAGATTTAGATATAGCTCCAATTCGGGTTATTTGTGCACCAGATGGCCAATATAAATCCAAATGACCTGAATTTTGGCACATCCAACCGAATTCAGCCTAGAAGCAAGTACATCAAATTTAATGAAAATCGTTTAAGATATAGCTATAGGTCCCTTATATATGTTTCATCCGATTTGTTGTTAAATCTATATATCAAATACAACCCAGAAATACCTCTGCCAAATTTTATCAATATCGGCTCGGTATATTCAATCCATTTCGGGTGAATTGTGCACCAAATGGCCAATATTAATCCAAAAGTCCTGTATTTTGGCACATCCAAAATAATTACGTCTAGAAACAGTACATCAAATTTGGTGAAAGTCGATAAAGGTATAGCTATGGCTCCCATATAAATGTTTCGTCCGATATGGTGTTTAAGTCCCTCACATTCGTAATATTCATTCGACAAAATTGATATTTGGTACAAGAGCTCGGAAATACCTCTGCCAAATTTTATCAAGATCAGTTCAGATTTATATATAGCTCCCATATATATATTCAACTGATTTCGGGTTAATTGTGCACCAAATAGCCAATATCTGCTCAAAACATAGCTGCAGTTCCCATATATTTAGCGATTTAGCGATGTCCGTCTGTCTGTCTGTTGTAATCACGATATCTTTCGAAAGAATTGAGATAGAAGGCTAAAATTTTACACACATGTTTGTTTTTGCAGTAGGCAGGTTAAGTTCGGATCTGGGCCATGTAGGTCCACGTTTTCATATAGCCCCATATAACGGTACCTCAAGATATTCGGTATTTTGATGATTTTAGCGACATTATTCACCGGAATTGTTTCAAATTTGATATTTGCAGTTCGAAATAGATACTACAGCCTAAGACAGAAAATTGTCTATGCAGGTCCACGTCTTCGTATAGCCCCCATATAACGGTACCTCCCTATATTCGGTATTTTGATGAGTTTAGGTACAATACCCACAGAAATTGTTTGAAGTGTCGTATTTGAAGTTCGTAATGGATGCTACAGCCTATGACAGAAAATTGTGTATTCTGGTCCAGGTCTTCGCACAGCTAACGGTACCTGCCTAAATACGATATTTTGATGTTTTTAGCTGCATTATTCATCGTTATTTCAACTTTCCACTTTGAATATGGTAATGGTTTATGACAAACAATGCCTATGTAGGTCCACGTCGTATAGACCCCAATATAACGGCTATATTCGGTATTTTTAAAATTTTAACAGAATTTTTTAGGAATTTTATTTTTTGAAAATTTCCAAATTCGTTCCAAATGGTGGAGGGTATTCAAAGTTCGGCCCGAACCTACAGCTTTTCAATTTGTTAATTTGTATTACTTACCTGTTAGGCATTCTGAAGACCAACAGGTCTTTTTGCAGTAAACACATTTTGAATTTGATGGTAGATTGCCCTCTCGCCAATGATGCTGTTAGAAATTGAAATGGAATAAGATAAATACCTAAATACACATTATAAATATAATCGAATGCGACTATAACGAAAAAATGAAATCCTAAAATTCATGAACCATGAAATTTAAATAACAAAATTTAACAAAAAAAATTATTGTAAATATATATTATGTTGCCGTAATTTTTTATATTGGTAAAACTATTAAAATAATTTTTGACAATCCTTCCAAATGAAAATATCAATCAGTTAGAAGCTGACAATCATGCTACTGTTTTCCCTTGACCAAAATTTTATAGCAAAGAGTATTTAAAGAGAACGCCATACTTGTGTGTGATTTCAAATTTTTTTTTCTGCAAGTTTTACTAGTTTTTTTCAAATAAAGACGATAAAAGGAGATCAACATAGTACTATAAGATTTCGTAATAACCGCATTCGACGTTTCAATATTAAGAAAGTAACACATCCGCACAACTTACTTGATGCTTCACATTCAATAGCTCCTTGCCGGGTACATAGGTGGCATTTTCTGTACAATCTGGTACAGCGAAATCTTGGCACTCGAGATGTGCATAATATTCACAAACTATTCGAAGAAAGGAAATCAATTACAAATATTTTAACTGAGAATTAAAAATCAATCAAAAGCACTCACCTATGCAATGTACAGAAGGTGCATCATCCAAACGCTTGCGACATACTGTGCAGAATTTCTTTTTGTGTTGTGTGGGTTCCGACCAGCAATGAGCCACGGGATTCTGGAAACAAGAGAACAATTAATTATAATAAAAATCATTTTCATTATGGGAATCTGGTGCCACTTACCTTAATAATACACGGTGCAATGCCGGAGCAAGGTGTCACAACATTTGTGACACATCGTTCATGTATTATAAAGTTGCATACTGCAAAAAAAAAAAAACAAACGGAATAACATTAATTAATAAATTTATTGAATCTTAGTAAATATTAAATTAAATAAATTAGAAATTTATTCATAATCGAATTTAACTTTAATGGATCAAAATTTAAAAAAAAAATTAGAGTACCGTTATATGGGGCTTAGATATACAAGTGGAGCTATCTTCACAATTTTTTTTATGGAGAGATCCTATCTGCTCGGAAATTAAAATGTCAAATTTACACATAGATAAGATCGCAATTACAGTCGAATTTTTGTCATGAGAAATTATTTATCTCAAAACATTAAAAAAATGAAGAAGTAAAAAAAAAAAACAAACGGAATAACATTAATTAATAAATTTATTGAATCTTAGTAAATATTAAATTAAATAAATTAGAAATTTATTCATAATCGAATTTAACTTTAATGGATCAAAATTTAAAAAAAAAATTAGAGTACCGTTATATGGGGCTTAGATATACAAGTGGAGCTATCTTCACAATTTTTTTTATGGAGAGATCCTATCTGCTCGGAAATTAAAATGTCAAATTTACACATAGATAAGATCGCAATTACAGTCGAATTTTTGTCATGAGAAATTATTTATCTCAAAACATTAAAAAAATGAAGAAGTAACGTTCTATCGGAAAATATTTAATACCGAACGACAATATGTTTCCGATAATTAATTTCCGTTTTTTGAGAATATCACCCCACAATTTTTTACCCTACACCCCATTATGGCTACAGGCTATAGTTTAGAGTTGTGCAAATCTAATTCGATGGAACGAACTAGTTTCTTATCTAGTTCCGCGTATGAGTGATATGAAAAATATGATCTGTTTTTAATCACTCATACTTTCAGGAATTTGTGCGCTGCACTAGAATGGGGCAACTCTAGTACAGTTGTGTTAATCTGTTCAGAGTTTTCAAACAACCGTAGTCCCCGGAACTAAAAGGTATTCCATATTGAACGCAATTTTTAAATTTGACACCATTCGAAATGTCATTGTTTGACATATGGACAATTGTTATTGTTTGCTAGTAGAAGGAGAGATTTAAGAATGAACAACGCTTTCTCATTGTGAAATTATTTTACCAAAATGGTGAAAATTTTGACTCAGAAACTGAAGCCAGCTGACCACGGACAGCAAAGCGACTTCGTTAATGGAATACTGGAGAGATAACATAAAAATTATGATTTTGACAAGGCCCATTATCTTGATGAAAATCCTCGAGTGATTCACGAGAAGCAAATGTATCCTCATCATGTCACTGTGTGGTGTAGGTTTTGGGCTGGAGGAATATATCTTTTTATAACCTCCACAATAATATGGAGGGTATATTAAGTTTGTCATTCCGTCATTTGTCACACCTCGAAATATACATTTTAGAACCCACAAAGTATATATATTCTTGATCAGCATAAAATTCTATGTCGATTTAGCGATGTCCGTCCGTCTGTCCCTCTGTGGAAATCACTCTAGTTTCCGAACTCTAGTTTTACTCACATGTTCATTATGTTTGTAGGACTTTTGGTATTGTAAATTAGCCATGTAGATCCACGTTTTGGTATAGCCCCCATATAATTGTACTTCCCTATATTCGGTATTTTGAAGATTTTAGTGACATTATTCAGCGGAATTATTTTAAATTTAGTATTTGAAGTTCGTAATAGATACTACAGCCTATGACAGAAAATTGTCTGTGCAGGTCCCGGTCTTAATATAGCCCCCATATAACGGCACCTCCCGATATTCGGTATTTTAATGATTTTAGCGATATTATTCACCGGAATTGTTTCTAACTTGATATTTGAAGTTCATAATGGCTACTACAGCCTTTGTCAGCAATTGTCTATGCAGATCCAGGTCTTGGTATAGGCGCCATATATCAATACCTCCCTATATTTAGTTTTTTGACGATTTTAGGTATAATATTCATCGAAATTGTTTGAAATTTCGTATTTGAAGTTCCTAACAGGTAAAACAGCCTATGACAGAAAATTGTCTATGTAGGTCCAGGTCATAGTTTATAAAACAAAAATCCATTGAAGGTATTTCCAATGAAGAAAAAACTTTGAAAGGGAAATGCATTTTTCAATGATTTCTACACGTTGAAATGATGAAGGAAAAAGTTATCTCACACACACATATGTATACATAGATACACAAACACATATGTATATATCATACATATATTCTCTTAACGAAGCAATAGTTCGTGTTTTATTTCATTCATAATCGGCTGACATCGCTGCTGGTGTTTCTTCGGGTGTATTTACGGGTTCTGTTGCTACCGCTGCCGTTGCCGTTGCTCTCCTTGGTGTTGTTGCTGCTGATTCATTGTGGGAAAACTAGGACGGTGACCTGACGTTTTTCAGTTCTCTACTGACGTCATGAATGAACTCATTCATGTCCGTGTAGTTTTGTGATATTGGCCGCTTAGTTGTTGTCGTTGTTGCTGCTGTTGCTCTGATTATTGTTGTTGTAGTCACTGTTGCTGTTGGCATTTCAGCTAACAACTTTTTGTTTATACAAGTGTGCGCGAACCCCGCTGTTTGTGTTGTCGCTTCGTTCTAATTGTTGCTGCTGCTGCAGTTGTCTCTTCTGCCGTCTCCATCTCCTTCTCTTTCACCCGAGAATTGACAAAGAGCAGCACCCCAGCGACATTCAGTTTTGTGCATACAATGTAAAAACGCTGATTTCAAAATGCTTTCATTTCAGACAAACAGACAGGCTGGCAGGCTGACTGGCTGGCGGACTGAACGTTGAGGACGGAACTGTTGTTTCGTAAGCGTTCCTTTTGCTGCATTCGTGTATGTATGTGCGAGATGCCTTTGTGTGCGTATTGTATTGCTGTTTGCGTTTTTTTTTTTTTTATTTTGTTTTTTTTTTTTTTTTTTTTTGTCGTCACAAGCTTTACTGTCATTTATTCATGGTTGTTCCATTTATAGCTTGAGGATATTAGCGTTTTTAACTGAATTTTGGTTGCCAGATCTGAAGCAACGTTGTTGTATGCTGCCGCCGCTTTTCTTTTCAGTGTTCACTTGTTTTTTATGGCAAATCGCTCTTGTTCTTCTTGTCGTTATCAGTTGAGTGGGTGAGGTATTGCTTTTCTTAACAAATAATGCCAGTTGTTTGATCAAAATGAGGATGATGACGACGACGATGACGCTGACGATGATACTTCAGCTGTCGAAGGAGATATTTGTTAAATTTTGAGGTCAATTGGGAAATGTTTGTGTAATTTCGCTTCTTACTTGCCATGGATAATTAGTCAAAGAGCACAGAAGGAAAAGTGTACATACACACATGTATGTGTGAGATTGATTGAATTCACATATCTAATTGAATTTGCATGTTGGTGTTAGGACTTGGGGTTTGATTTCGATATGAGTTATTGGTATTGAGTTATGTGGTTAAGGGATAACTGAAAATCATAGCTTAATTTAATCTAATAACTAAATAGTGTCAATTTTCACTTCTATTAATAGCTTTCAGGGTAGAAAGGAAATATAGATTTCTTTGTTCTTGTTTAAGGCGAATTACGGAATTTGTCTCTACTTTGTTATCTTTATTTCAATATCCTTGAATTGGTTAAATGGAGAGTTCTTGAAAGAATGTTTTTAAATTTTTTGATAAGAAAATATATTAAAATCCAAGGCTTCAATGGCCCTTGAAAATATTATTTAGAAAAATCCATGATTTTTAAAGATCGAAGAAAAAAAAATAGTTAAAAAACAATGACTGTGATAGTCCCTGGAAAATTAATAAAAACGTCCCGACTGTAATATAAAATTTTTTTTAAAATATTCACGACAATGATAGTTTTTGGAAAAATTAAAAACAAATTAATTGAAAAATCCATGACAATGATAGTTTTTGGAAAAAAATCATTAAAAATCTACGACAATGATAGCCTTGGAAGAAACTATTCAAAGTATACAGGAGTGTGAAGTTCTTGGATAAAATATCAGAATAATCCAGCAATTTGGAAACCAAATAATTGAAAAATTCAAGCCTGTAATAGTCTTTGGAGGAAAAATTAAAAAAATTCACCACTTTAAAAGTTCTTGAAAAATTTTTTTAAAAACCTAAGACTTTGATGATCCTCAAAAATAATATTAAGAAAATTTCATGATTACAGCCCTTGAAAATTAATTGAAAAACCATCTATTTCACACAAATTATTTTAAAACAAGTTAGGTTTGCCGACAGACGTGAACCCTCAACCAATGTTCATTAACTTGTGCTATGATAATTCAAAATGTTGACCCTCTATGTTTGGGAGGTGGGATAAGAAGCGGGTCAATATGTATCCACTTCGTATCTGACTTAAATCTAATATAAATATTATAATGTACAAGATTTGGACTATATCGATACGATTTTGACTATAGACCATATATACCAGATTTAGTGAAACGAAGAATTCCACTTCATCTTGTATTGAAGAAACTTTGGGAGGGATGTGCAAAGTCGAAACTCAAACATTTTAAAGATAACCGTACATTTATTTTTAATTTTATTCAAATACAAAATGGATACATTGCATATTTAAATATTAAAATATATAATATAAGTTTGAAAGGAATCTGTGACTTGTTTCTCAAGTTATGAGAGACATAAATATTGAAAATTGTGGCCCTTTGAGGGGAGGCACCCAAAGGGGTGGGCCGAGATCTATCATCTTCATAACAGATCTTGAAATTTAAGGAGAATCGGATGTTTATTTTGCATTTTATGATCTTTTTGTTTACAAAATGTTCACCCCTTTGTGGTGAAGGTACCAGAATCAAAATACTCACAGGAGATCTCGTGTTAGTAGAAATATTGGTATGTGATGAGCTTTATGATTATTCATAATTTTAACCCGTTGTGGGTGAGGTAGCAGAAACTAGTCTTCCTTCTTTAAATCAGATCTTGTGTTTATAGAAATTTTGCTATCTATGAGCTTCACGTTTATTCAAAATTTTGATACGTTGTGGGAAAGGTTCCA